TCTTTGGAACCGTGATATGGTGGCCACTTTAAATTTCAGGCACATCCTTTTTGGGCTGCGTGAAAACGGAAAAAGACCAGAGCGCTTTTGCAGACTCAACGCACCTCCTTCTACTGGCTTCAAAAGAAAGGCGACCTCATCAGCTAGTAGTAGACCAACCAAGAAAATAACCAACCCTTTGAAGTTACCGCTACATTAATCCATGATACAGGTAAGTCTTTGAACAATAATTCGTTTCGGCTACAAAAAATAGGGCTGTCTATTTTTTCATTCACTTGTCTCAAATTTTTTTAGCAGGCGTCTCATTTATTTTATATTTATTTTATAAAGTGTCTAACTTATTTTTTGAATCGTCTCATTTTAGCTTAAAAAACTGGATATAAAAATCCGATCAACTGAGCTCAAAACATCAACCAATTAAATTCAAAAGTTTGACCAATTGAGAGTGGGGAAACGCTGTATTGTCTATATTTTTGCTTTTTTTTTTCTTTTAATTATTAAAAATGTCAACATCAAATCACAAAGCAGTACCTACTTCGACATTGAAGAATACCCAGGCAAGTCCTTCAATTGTTCTTTCCTTTTTAGTGAGACTGACTTTAGACATAGTCTAATTCATCAGAACCAAGTGCTTTGGTTGGAAAATCAGCTCGTGTTGTATTAAGCGAGGATGAGGAAGAAGACAGTAACCAAAAATATACATCAGATGGAGATGACGATGAACCTGGAGCTGAGCCCATGTCAGCAGAGGCCTTGGAGTTACTCAAAACTGAAAAAGTGCTCAAGGCTGGATATTTATTGAAGAAAGGTGAAAAAAGAAGGGTAAGGTTAATAAGTATTCATGATAGAAAACTAATAACCTACGTAGACTTGGAAGAAGAGATGGTTTGTCTTGAGAACAACCAAATTAGCCATGTATAAGGATAATAAGGTAAATATGAATAGGTAATGCCCCCATAAAAGCATGGTCTAATATTTTGATCCAAGGAATATAAATTACTTCGAATTATTGATCTGCATGAAATACACAAAGTAGTTCAAGTGACAACAAAACACAAGTATAAATACGTCTTTGCTTTTGTTACTCCAAAGAGAATGTATTATGTACAAGCCAACGATCAAAATGATATGAACGAATGGTTTGCTTGCATAAACCAAGCCAAGCAAGAACAAAGGCTCTATGATGCAGATGATGACACTAGCTCACTTGATCGTGATCAAGAGTTTGCCAAGGACGTCATTTCGTCTTATAAATCAAATTATAGTGCTAATACCATGCAACAAAGAAGGCAATCAAGCACGGGCATAGATGAATATAATAATATTAATACCAGTAATAATACCAAATCACAACCTATGAACATTCCTGGAAAGAAAAAGAGACCTAATCAACGATCAACTGAATATTATCCTATATCACCTTCATCAAACCCTACAAGTTCATTTCTAACGGAAGGCATTGTGAGTTCAGAGGACGACGAGGAATATAGCGCAGATAAAGCCAATATAGAATTGGAAGAGAATAGGAATAGAGTACTTATAGAAGGATACTTGCTAAAGCTAGGGCGCAACAAGGGATGGAGAAAGCGATGGTTCGTGCTTCGAACGGACACACTTGCTTATTATGAGGATGATAAAGAATACTCCCCACATCGAATTATTCCTTTAGATCATATCATTGATTCACTGGAAATTGAGCCTGTCAGTAAAAATAAACAATACTGCTTCAAAATCATTATACCAAAGAGAAGCTATGTACTATGCGCACCTAGTGAAAGTAATATGGAAGCATGGCTAAATGCACTTGTTGTAGCAACAAGAAGAACTAAAGCAGAAGATATTACACCCAAATACCATCGACCACTTTCTCTTATTCCTGAAAATACAATTGAAAAAACGCATTCGACAACAGATTCACTTGATTCTATTGAAAACATCAGCCATCTGTCAGGTGTCAGTGGAGCAGGAGGTGTAGGTGGTGCTGGTGGAGCACTGGGTAGTGTACCAAGTCAATCGATGTTAGTATCAGAAAGACTGGGTCGATCAAAAGAAGTACCACTTGCATTTAATTCATAATAAATAATAGTAATAATAATAAGCTTACACCAACTGCACGTAATAAAAAAAGTAAAAAGTGTTTTATTTTTCACATTTAACTTGATTCAATAACTGCTGATGGACTGAAGCTAACTGAGCTTCTAGTTCCAGCACTCTTTGCCTATTTCTTTGCTCTTTTTCAGATATATGATGCACTTTTGATTCCAGCACTGCAGCTCTAATCCTTAGTTCCTCGTTTTCTGTCTTTAACTCTCGCACTTTCTTTTCCAGTGCCTCCATCTTGATTGCCTTTCTTAATCTTGATCTACGCGCAGCATCGGTATTGCGTTGTCTCTTGATGATGACATCTAGTGGCTCATTTGTTGATTTTTTATGATGATTAATATTTAAAGGTAGTTCATTCAGTGAAGGAAGTGTAATAGGTATAGTCTTGTGTTGTTGAGGTTGTTGTTGTGTTTTTAATGATAACAGTAGTTTGATCACAGCATCAGGAGGGTTATTCTTCAAGTCAACATTGGTTACTAGCAGCTTTTGTATACGCTCCTTCAGCAGCTCCTTATTATCTTGTTGTTTTATAATGCTTCGTATCAGAATGTCTTTATCAGAATGCCGCAGGTCGTTTTCAAGCCATGCATCCAAATCCTTTGCGTTTAAACCCCAAGTTAGCTTAATGTTATTACTGTTCATGTTTAAAAAAAAAAGGTAAAGTCTTAAAATATGAGAAAGAAAGAAAGAAAAAAAAGAAGAAGGAAGAAAAGAATGGATTGCTATTTAAATACAAGTACTTATGATACACACGCATATACAAGTACACATCAATCACAAGGTGCCTCGACATTTTTATTGGCCAACTCTCTCCTGTCTTTGTTCTCTTTCAGCACCCATTCACTTCCTTCTTATCCTGCTTTCTATGCTTATTCCTTATAGTTATTTAGCATCCGTTTTTAGTGTTGATACCAATGTTTACGTCTTTGCATTCATTGATTACGACAGAAGGTCATTGTTTCGAATAATAATGATAACAAGTTGAGTCACAAAGTGTAATCGCATCGTATTGGGTGACAATTGCATTAAAATGACAATTGATTAACCAATCATAATGAGTAATTATTTGGCTGTGTTGAAATGCTCTGTCCCTTATCAAAATAACTCAAGGCCGTAGTTCATTTCATTTTATAACTTGTGGTCAATGGCTAACATACATTTCTTTTACATAATTTGACAGGTGTCTCTCTTTTAAATATCTATTTGCGTTTATTCCCATTGGTTAATTTCTTAAAGAACCATAACAACTGTTTCTTCTACACTATCTTATAAAGTAATTACTATAGGATTTGCTGATAAGCGTGGGAAGTCTTGTATCAGCCATATGTTCAATTTTGCTTTGATCGATATATTTATTCGAACACATACGCTTACGGATGTCAGTAATATTAAATACGTCTTCTTACAGAAATAGGTTTAGACAAAGACTCTTCATCAAAGATCTTATGAGTAATGTAGACGCTTGGATAACAACACGAGTGTGAGTAATTTTTCACCCAAAAAAGCCATCTTCAAAGCTTTTATCCTTCTTTTCATGTAACACTTTCCTTGTTGGGCTAGTGAATGCTTGTATGATCTAACGCCCCCTTCTGAAATGAAGCTATTTCATTTTTCCGTTTATTATACCTCCTAGCTACCTCATCTACAGTTGTACTTTTGTGCATTTCAGACAAATTTCCGAGTAATCTATCGTTTCTACAGTGACCAAACTTTCAATTGGCTCTTTGTATAATGCCACGGTAATTACGATGAGCATCGTGAGTTATTGAATATTAATAGAGATTTCAACTAAAAATCGGACACATTGATACCGACTCTCTTTCCCTAGAGTGTTCAAGAGTGCGTCTACTCCTACATATAGCTATTAAATGACCAAGCATTGCGAAACAAATATGATCCATAAAAATATAAATCTTAGTTTCGAAATGAACTACAAAAAGAAATAAATGATGGCAAAGCTCCTTTTGTGATGCTTTTAATACAGAGAAACTAATTCTGGATAGCCATTAAAAGACCGGAAATGGAAACAGAACTGTCTCGGCATTGTATACAGTCCCAAATTCAACCAATAAAATATCAGGCTTTGACCGAAAGTGGAGTACAACTGCTAACCAGGAACTATAAATTCGAAAGTGCATATGCATAAAAATTTGGCAGTTATCTCGACTAAGAGAATAACAAAACTCAGGTTAGCTTGAATAATACTTTGACCAAGAGTCGAGAATATGCGTAAGCTAGATTCAAGCTCCAGCAGCCGAGATAGTATTTATGTATAGACAGAACGCTATGCTATTTTGGTTATAATAAATAATACAAAGGGTCACTTGGTTACAAAGCGGTTAGACAAATAACAGATGTATGCATAAATATACTTTGTCCTATTCAAAACATTCTATGTGCACGCGTAGTCTGTGAGATGAAATGTCACGTTACTTTACGTGTTTATAAACGTACGCTATTCTCTTTTTTACTTTTTTTTTTTTCTTCCTTCTACTAAAAATAAAATAAAATGACAATCTATGGTCATAGACACTGTCATCACGCTTCAAATGATCTAAAGCCATCTTTAGACAATGCGCCTTCAGTTCCTACAAACATCGCTCACTCTCGTCTCAGTAACTTTCTTGCTGGAGCAGGCCAGTTTTACAGCATGGGTATTCATAACCGTTTATGGATATTGAGACATAGTGGCGCCCCTCATGTTCAACTCAAAGTATATAGTGTTCCTGATGTAAAGGTAAGATACACAAGTAAGAAAATCACGAGTACTTTGAACTTATAGCGTCTATTAGAGAATTCCCTTCGAGGTAGAGCATAACCAAAAAAAAAAAGTTACTCAAAAGGGAAACAAAACAAACCTTGCATAAATTATAATAGGACGCTATTACACAAAAATTTCAAGATTTTACTATTGGCCAACACGATTTCGGCCCCAGCTGGACTACTCATTGGTTTCAAGTGACAGTGAAGATACCAGAGGCATTGAATGGACATGAAGTGACTCTTCAATGGGACATGGGCTGCGAGGGCCTTGTCTGGTCACATGATGGTGTGCCTCTTCAAGGGCTCACTGGTGGCTGTAAGGAAATAAGCAGTTGCACATACATGTTGCTCAATTATTTTTTGGTAGCTGATCAAGCTCGTCATGAATTTATTATTTCTAAAAAAGCCAAGGCAAATGAAGTATATTTACTCTATATTGAGGCTGCTTGTAATGGCATGTTTGGCGTTGGTGCAAGCGATTCGATGGTTGCAGACCCCAATCGATATTTCAAATTGAAACAGGCTGATTTAGTTGTAGCCAATAAGCCCGTTCAAGATCTCTATCACGATCTTACGCAAGTAAACAAGTTGTAAACGTAGCAGCCAAATTAACATGTTTTGTTGTCAATAGTATTTTAAAAGGAATCGCCTTTGATACTGATTCAAACTCTATCCAGGCTAGAAAGGCTCTTTGGGTTGCCAACGAAGTCATTAACCATTTTATTGGTGATGATAAGGCGGCCATCAACGAGTGCAATAGGCTCACAAGAGAATTTTTAAACGAGCAGAATGGATCAGAATTGCACCGAGTCACAGCTGTAGGCAACTGTCATATCGGTAATGTTTACTCTTGTGCTCCCCCTTACACGTGTATTTTCCTAAACATATCTTTTCTCTATAGATACGGCCTGGCTTTGGCCGTATGATGAGACAAAAAGAAAGGTTGCAAGATCATGGTCAAGTCAATTAAACTTGATGGAAAGGTACCCAGACTATGTATTTACTGCATCTCAAGTTCAACAGTATGAATGGTTGCAAGAACTGTATCCAAAGCTTTTTGAAAAGATCAAAGCAGCTGAAAAGCATGAGCAATGGGAGATTATTGGTGGTGTAAGCAATAAGATGAATCTTCTATTTTACCAAGACTAACATGACTTCTCTTTAATAGAGCTGGGTGGAGCATGGTAAGTCATTACAGTATTTATACTAATTGCTAATCTTTGATACTGATTGCATTTATGGTAAATACAGACACAAACATGCCGGTAAGCTTTATATTAATGTGTATTCTGTGCATGAGCTAAGTCTTTCTTTTTTCTTTTTTCTTTCTTTTTTTTTTTTATATGTAGTCTGGGGAATCTCTTTGCAGACAAATGTTGCTTGGGTAAGTGGGCTAGAGTATGCATATAAAAGAAGATACTTTACTCAAATCTTACATTACCTATAGACAACGATTCTTTGAGAAGCACTTTGGTAAAAGGGCTCGTGTGTTTTGGTTACCAGACTCCTTTGGATACTCTGCTCAGCTTCCTCAAGTCCTTAAGCAATCTGGATGCGACTATTTTTTCACTCAAAAGTTATCATGGAATAACATCAACAAGTTCCCTTTGACTACTTTTTGGTGGACCGGCATTGATGAAACGAAAATATTGGCACACCTTACACCTGCTGAAACGTGAATAGAACAGCCATTTACATTGTGTTAATTTCTAATCTATATGCTTTAGATACACTGCTTCTGTAACCCCTGCTGAACTATACAAGTGGTAAGTGACGTTGTTAAAGAAAAGAAGGAGCTACTGACGCATAAATAGTACAAGAAACCATCACGATCTTGAGCGTTCAAATCACAGCCTTTTAGTTTACGGGTAAGTGCCCTCCTAAGGAAAAGGAATGTCGGGATCTCATGAATTATCAATGATCTTTAGACATGGCGATGGAGGAGGAGGACCAACTACTGGGATGCTTGAGAGATTAAAGAGGATGAAGAGTGTTGTAAGCTTGAATGATAACCATTGTAAAATAAAAAACTAATGAATAATGCTAGGACGGTTTACCTAAAACATCACCTGGAAGCGCAATCCAATTCTTTACAGATTTGGAAAAGGACGCAAGCAGGCTTCAAGCATATAAAGGAGAACTGGTAAATGATATTAACTAAGGTGAAGCAATAACACTTGACTTATACAAAATATAAATTAGTACCTCGAGTTTCACCGTGGTACTTATACCACGCAGGCTCTTGTCAAGCGAGGAAATAGGAAAGGTGAAGTAATAATTCATGATGTAGAGCTTTTGGCTACCATGGCAAAAATCCACTCTAACCATACAAGTGGCGAATACAGGTAAAAGTGCATTGTTAGATTCGATTTCTTTATCAATACGTTGTAGCTATCCATTGAGCGAAATCACGAACCTTTGGAAGTTACTCTGTCTCAATCAATTCCATGATTGTTTACCGGGATCTGCTATTAAACTAGCTTATGTCGATGTTCATAAGGTAATGTAACATATTTACCAGTAATGTTGTATTGTATGTACGGCTAATTTGTCTTGGGTACTATACAGTTTCATCGAGAAGTTCTTAGCAAATCTTTAAACCTTCGCCATGATGCACAATCCTTTTTGATATCCCAAAAGCCTAAAAAAGACCAGCAGGAGAGTCAGCAAGGCGTTATAGTCTTTAATACTCTTCCTTGGCCACGTAAAGAGGTCATTGTTGCTCCACAGAAAGGAACAAAGTGGTCTAATCAGCAATGGAATAAGGATGGCTACGAATACTTGATTGGTAGCTCAAGATAACTACTCAAGTGTACAATATTGATCCTCTTCTTTCTCTTATAGTTGACGGAGTTCCTGGATTTGGAGCTGCAGGTTATCTAGCATCTAGTGCTGATTTCGCGGATGTGGGCTCTGATAAAGCTGCAAAAGGTGAGTTGCTCAAAATTAAATATAAAATATTTATGATCGTGTCTATGCAGCATATGCTACCAAATCCGGCTACTTCATTCTCGAAAACCCTATTTTGAAAGCAAAGTTTAATAAGAATGGTCAGCTGATTGAATTGATTGATAAACGAACCAGGAGAGGAAACCTCGTGCCAAACAAGTGTCGAGGTAATGTCTTCCAGCTCTATGAGGATGTTGTAAGTGAAGCATGTGTGCTATGCATAGATAACATAGTTTAACTATTTATTCTATTATTGGGAATAGCCCACCTATTGGGATGCTTGGGATGGTAATAGTATTGAATATAAAGTTTGGGATAAAAGCTTACTAAAATCGTTTCTTTATAAAAAAAAAAGTTGAAATATATCATCTTCAGAAATACGTAGATCTGGAAGATCATGGACATATTGAAGTTGGTGTTTTTAAATATATACCAAAAAAGGAGAAATATACTTATATTCTACCTTAGGTGCACTCAGAAGGTCCACTCAAGGCAGAGCTGTTACTAGTCCACAAAATATCCGATGTCAGCTCTATTAAGCAAGTCATTAGCTTAACGTGTATAGGAGAGCGTTTGGAATTTGATAATGTAGTGGATTGGCACGAAAGTCACCAGTTTTTGGTAAGATTTCTTTTAAAAAATTGCTTATTACAAAGTCTTAACATTATACGAAATGGCAGAAAGTCGAATTCAACTGGGATATAGTCTCTGATTACGTATGACGATATATATCACGGTTACGTTGATGCATGTGCTAAATCAAACGTGTTATAGGCAACCTATGATATTCAGTATGGAGTTGTCAGAAGACCTACTCATTACAATACAACGATAGATTCTGCAAGATTTGAGGTACTTTAGCTCATTTTATTGCCAGTTATCTCATTCTTTTTCAGGTCTGCGGTCATAAATTCACAGATTTGTCAGAAGCAAACTATGGAGTAGCTCTGATGACCGACTGCAAGTATGGCTATGCTACTCATGAAAAGACGCAGCGCTTGTCCTTACTTCGTTCACCCAAAGGGCCAGATGAGGATGCTGATATGGGTAATAGAAACCAAAGGTTGAGACTTCAGTATCTGAAGCTGCTTTAAAAATAGGTCAGCATAAATTCAAGTATGCCATTTATCCTCATATTGGAAATTTCTCAGTATCAAACGTAATGCAGTCAGCATTAGAGTTCAATACTCCTATTTCTATTCGGTAATAACCAAACATCCACTACATATGACCATGCACTGATTGAATATTTAGTAATGGAGATGGAAGCGAAGTCTGTAGCGGGGAAATGATTAGCTCTTTATTTTATCTTGAACCCTCGCGTGAGATTATAATTGATACTGTCAAGCTCGCTGAAGATGACCAAGGACAAGGTAACCAGGTTATACTACGTCTATATGAAGCTTATGGTGGAAAGAGTACTGCCGTTTTGAAGAGGTAAATCAACTGCAACTTGTATAGGTTTTATTAATGACGTGTGTGTGTGTGTGTAGCTCGCTGAATATCAAAAAAATTCAAATCTCAAACGTATTGGAAGATGATACGGGAGAAACATTGGAACGAAACCTTGATGGCGACTTCATTGTCACATTAAAGCCTTTCCAGATATTAACTCTCAAGGTGGACCTAAACTAATCAAGAGGCGACTATGTGTATGTTGCTCGTGTTATTAAAGCAAAAGTGAATGATTGTTTATTTTTATTTTTTTTTTAAGATAAAGAATTGCAACTATTTACATATGTGCTTTTGGGAGGTTGTCTAACAATTTACTAATGAGTTTATCTGCTTTACACGCCATAATAATGTCTTCTTCCATAAGGTTGAGTGAAATACGCATACAGATATCATGTCTACCACTATCCATTATAATAGCTCGACACTGACCAAGTGATTCACAAACACGCATTAGGTCACTGGTGTTGATAGGTTCTATATTATGCCATTTACAGGTTTGCGTATGATATTGCGCTACATCCCCAAATTCAATTTCTGCCAACCCTGACACACGAACGCGCTGCATACATGCCACAAGAAAGATCTTTTGATGAAGTGAGCAAGAGCGAATAAAGGCAACTGCAGGAGAAGTAAACATTTCTTTGATAGCTTGATCGATAATGGCAATCGTAACTTGGAGTTCTTTAGATGTATTATTATTCATAGTTGACTTTTGTTCAACAATTTCTACTGCTCGTCTACATATATCTAATGCACGTCGTGCGTCACCACTAACTGCACTTACTTTACGTGCTGCAAATTCAACGGCTTCTTTAGTAAATGCGTCTATACCTTGCAACCTTGATTGCACTATTTGATAGAGTTGGTCATGTCTATAAGGTTGAAAATTGATACGAGTAAGACCTTCAAGTAGTGATTAGATCAAATAGAAACAACGGTTGCGACTTGATCACTTACCCATTCTACTAGCTATTTTATTACTCATGAGTCGTTCAGGAAGATCCATGGTGTTTGCTATTGCCACAACAATCAACTTAGAATGTGGTCTACTTGGCCAGTCAAAGAAGTTATACATGACTGTCTGCTTCTTAGTCACCAACAGATCCAATTCATCCATTAAAACGACACTAAAAAGAGAGGCGTGAGCTGTTTTGTTCTCATCATGAATATTTACATACGTTATCCGCTGGTTATTATTGGGTTTTGAAAATTTTGCTTCTAGTAGTTGCAAAGCATGTGCTGCAGTATAGCGCTTCTTCTTTTCCGTATCTGCTGCTCTGTCCATGCATTCCCACAAAATACTGTATGCTTGATTAGGATCTGTAAGCTTCATACCGTTAATTTCTGCAAAGTCAAATCCAGGCAGCTTTTTTTCTGCTGCTTGTTGCTGCAAGTGTCTAATAACTTCATGCACTGTCGCTGTTTTTCCTGTTCCAGGTACACCAGATATATCTAAAAGCTTTGTTACAAAAAGTTTTTCAACTACAGTTGTATTCACCTACAAACACATGTTCCAGTAGAATCTTGAATCGCGCCTTCGATATAACCAGCAATAGTCATGAATTCTTCTTCACGACAAGGAAGTGATTCAGGTACAGCAGAGACATGCAGTCTTTCTCTTGCCAGGGCATATGCAGTAAGATTGTTTGTTTTATTGTGGTGGCTTACTTGACGTAAAGGATCTACAGTAGACGATCTATTGACTCTTTGAATAGTTCTGCCTGGTGGTATCGCTGGCTTTTGCTTAACAGGTGCATTCCTTTTAGACGGTTGTTTTGTTATCTGTCGTGCACGTTTTTTAGGTTTCTTAATTTCCTCTTCTGATTCATAATCGTCTTCCAAATCAGTTTCATCGTCAGTTTCCGAAAGCACTACTTTACTAGTAGTCCTTCTAGCTCTTGTTCCTCGCCTTTCGATACTCTCTGTGTTCCTCGTTCGGCTTGGGCTCTTGCTTACGTGTGGCTGGCGATCAGTTGACTTTGAGATTAGTGTCTCTTGTTTTTCTGCGAGGCGACGACTTTTTCGTTCAGTCATAAGAAAGGTACGATTTAAAGGTTGGATAAATTTTGAGCACTTTGATACTCTGGAGAACTCTAAATAACCAAAAAAGTATTCTCTACACTGAGAGAAAGTCCGACATCAACTTTCCAAATTGTGTCGAGCCATGAAATTCAGTAAATGTTTCCAAGTACTTTTCAATATCCGATATGGCTGCAACTTTAAAGCCACTCTGATATTCTATACGCGGCCTTTGAATTTTGATTTCATCTTGAAGGTAAAGGTACCTGAAATCAACAAGGATAAGCGGAGTGTATTAAGCTACACTTTCAAATTTAGAGCAAGAGCTTTTAGGGGATGTATTTATGGATTCATGTAGAGTATATTGATAGCCGTAGCCGACGATCGTGCCGCTTTTCATGTATTTTTACTGCTGATAAGAGATTTGTAGAATAATAAAACAAAGCACCTGTTTACTAAAGACTTTCTTTGACTACATTATCGTTTTTTTATATATTCAAATTTCTATTTTTATTTGCCTGTTCTGATGAGCTTCTTATACACCCAACAACCAATCCTTTTTGTTTATTGTATCTAATCTTCATGTGTGCACTCTTCCAATAAAAACTACACTTTGTCCAATTTTAAATCTCAGGCTTCACAAATTTTTTTTTTAACTGCTTTTATTCTGCTGATGACTACAAGTGTAATAAAGCTCATTACATTTGATGCTTACAATACGCTTTTTAAGCCAAGAGGAAGCCTTTCAGCTCAATATGTACTAACTAGTCATATACATGTTGTATTTACCTTTTAACACTTTGTTTTAGGTAGAAGAAGCAGCAAAATATGGAATAAAAGTTACAAAGAACGAAATAACCGATCATTTTGGACAAGCTTATAGGAAGCAACAATTAAAAGCGCCATTCTATGGTATAAAACAAGGAATGACTCCCCAAGAATGGTGGAAAGAGGTAAAGATACAAAGTGAGCATGTAAGCAAAAAAAAAAGTATTAAAATTGAAAAGCTTGTTTATGCAACATTTTCAAGCGCCGGTGTTCATCCAAAGGGTAATTTAGCATATATATGTTTTATGAGGCAAGATTGTAAATGTGTCTACTAGAATTGGATACAAGCTTTGATCAACTTTATAATGCATTGTACAACAGATTTACAACCGCTGCTGCGTATTCAATATTTCCAGATGTTGTGAATACACTAGAAGAGCTAAAGACACGTGGATTTAAAATGGGCGTCATTACAAACTCGGACGAAAGAGTAGGTAAAGTAGATACTTAAGCGGTTACTTAAAATATATTAACGCGTATTGAAGCCAAAGTGGTTGAAAACTTAAAACTGGATAAATACTTTGATTTTGTATTAGCTAGTGCTGACGTTGGGTATGAAAAGCCTGATAAAGTCATATTTGATAGAGCGCTCAAGATAGCCGGTAATGTCTCTGCAGAAAACGCTTTACATGTGGGTGATGATTTAAACAAGTAGGTTTGAAAGAGGGTTAGTGTTATATATTGATCTAAGTACCTCTCTTTTTTTAGGGATTATTTTGGTAAAGTTTAATTATGTAATCGTTATCTAATCTAACCCTTTCTCTTTTTCATTTTAGGAGCTGCATACGCTGGGTGGCATTCTGTATTACTTGCAAGAAGTTTGTTATATTCTCATATGACGTATAATGGAGTTAACAATCTTTTTTTTAATAGGTAAACTCTCTTATGAAGATTTTTCACCAGCAATGGTTGAAGACACAAGTGTGCCACTTCATCGACCTAGGCGTCTTATTAGCTTACATGACCTTTATCCTTATATAAGTACATTGTGCGACAAGGACAAAAAGAGAACATAATCTACTATGTAATATCATATACATGCCATATTTATTATATTAAAATTAGTTAAAGTCTATTCTACGAGTTTGACCATCTACTCCTGTGCATTCTGCCCAATGATTAGTTTCTGTTCCATAGAAAGCTAAACCACCTCCTGCAACGCATGATAAAGAGAAGCGACCAGAAGCATATCGTGGCCACCAGAACATTATCTAACATATGAATTAGAAAATGTTTGTATTGTGTTTTATTTCCTACGTCAAACGTCATCTCATCATAATCAACACCTCTGGGAGTACAATCTTTGTTTGAATAATGACAGCACTCGTTTCTTCCTGGACTAATAGTCTTTACGAAGCTCCTATAGAAATTAGTTTAGACAACGATGAAAAAGATAAAAGGTCTTGCTTTACTTGGGAGATGAATAGTGACCGTTAGATGCCCAAACCTTGATGTTTGTATTGTCTGAGAGGAAATTATATATACAAAATGACTGAACAGTTGAAGCCAAAGTAAAAAAGAAGCAAAGGAATAGCAATTTGATGTACATCTACGTGATAATAATAATCAATTATGGACAACGGCTCCTATATACTCTTTAATGTCGTTTATTCGCTTAAAAAGGCAAAGCTAATTTACGGGCATTTCTTTAGCATTTCATTATTCATATTTTCAATTTGTTTACAGCACAATTCAATTATTACTGAAGAACAAAAGAAAACAGGTGCTGCTCATAACCTATCATGCCGAGTACAGGTTACCGTATGGATGTTTATCCATTCAGAAGCCCTCAATGGCCTTATTTGATATGTTCAAAAAGACCTGACAGTTCATATGATATTAAGCTTACTTTTTTCTTTTTTAGAGAAAAGACCATACAATCAAGAGCATTATAAGGCTCCCTTCCTATATTCCAGAGTCTCCATGCCTTTAATGAGAATCATTTGGGAACGCTATTCTTAAAGTGTCTATTTCAATTAATTCAAGTAAGTAGATTCTTAATTATCTTGGAACGACAAGCAATCAAAATGCTGACGAATAATGTAATAGATGCTCGCCCCAAGTTTTACATAAGTTTCAAAAGATAAAGTTTTCATGCTCGCATTGCTACCTTCGTACTTTGGTCGAAATTCGAGCTGTGATAGAAAAGAAAAGAGGATGCAAGCGTATTTACCTTCTCCTTACTCTCTTGAACTGAATCCTACAGAGCAAATTTTGGTGTTCTGTTAAACGCTCTCATTTCAGTGATAAAGAAGGCTTGTATTCTAGAATTACTGAACCATGTAATAATATTCCTTATAATACCAGTAGAAACTTTATGCAGCATTCTATTAATGGTGCACCAAAGTGTTTAAATAAAGAACCTCTAGCAATAATGCGAAGAGGCGTGACTGGAGTCTAACACTGACTGAGAATAACAAAGCCATTGTCCGCAATTTGACACCGCGCCCACTGTCCATTTTTTTTTCTTGTAATGGAAATAGATTCTGAAGAGCAGCCTAGAAATGCTAAAAGACCTGAGGAAGAAGCATCCGCAATAGAGGCATTTCCTGATGTCTCTAGGAAAAAGGCAAAACACAGCAAAGAAGAAGCTAATCTATTAAAAAATATGGGGATCCCTGATTGGTTACTGCATCCCACGACTATATCTCCAACAGAAAGATGCGATCTAGATCAAGTAGGATTATCTGAACGATTAACTCAGAGATGCAAAGAGATCGGTCTATCTTCTTTCTTTGCAGGTAATCGTTTGCAAAAAGAAAAAGAAACAACGAGTTGTAATTAACGTACACTAGTTCAAAAGGCGGTTATTCCAATATTCTTGAGAAATCAGACATTGTATGACACGACAAAGGCACCAGGAGACCTTTGTGTTTCAGCTCCTACTGGTAGCGGTAAAACATTGGCATATGTCTTGCCAATTATTGATATTTTATCAAAAAGAGTCATCAAAAGACTGCGTGCGGTCATTGTTCTGCCAACTCGTGACTTGGTGATTCAAGTAAAGGAAACGCTGGATGCTTTTGTTAAAGGCACTGACTTGGTGGTTGCAGCTGTCAGTGGTCAGCAGTCATTTACTCATGAGCAACATGTACTTGTTGGAAGCGAAGATGAAAGGTAAGAGATAGAGTTATACTACTATGACACAACCTAACGGTGTCTATTAGTTATCCTGGTGGTAAAAGTAAAGTAGACATTTTGGTAGCTACACCTGGTAGATTAATCGATCACTTAAACGCTACACCCAACTTTACACTTCAGCACGTCCGTTTTTTGGTTGTTGATGAAGCAGACCGTCTATTGAATCAGAGCTTCAATGACTGGTTAAATAGAATCTTACAAGCAACAAGACCAGATGGAAGTCAACAAGTACCACCACTAGATTTTAAAACTGATAAGGATGGGTAAAGGAGAAGATAATTATGCAGACAAATCGAGCAACTAAAGGTGAATTATAGTGTGGTGTTATCAGATGCAATAGCTCCTACCTTTTTGGAGTCTTATTATAGCTTTCCTAAAACAGAATTGGATCATCCTAAAGTTCCATCGGTAAATAAGATCATTATCTCGCTTACAATGACTCATTGATTCTATTAGATTCAAAAATTATTGTTTTCAGCTACTTTAACAAAAAATCCAGCCAAGATAGCTGGATTACACTTGATTGATCCAGAGTATATATCTGTTCAACATGATGATGATGAAGCTACAACGAATGAGTATGTAACGCCCGAAGGATTAAAGGAATATATGGCAATTATTCCGACAGAAAAGAAACCATTGTTGGTCGTCTATTTACTTCACTATCTGGGCATCAAGTCAGGACTGTGCTTTACTAAATCCGTAGAATCAACAGAAAGATTAAAAACTTTAATTGATGCTTATGAAGCACTACAACCAGAAGAAAAGCGTGTAAGAGTAAAGGAATACTCGAGTGAACTTCGTCCGGCGGAAAGAAGGACAGTACTGAGGCAATTTAAAGAAGGAGAGATTGATATGTAAGTCAGCATAAAGGAGATAACAAAAAGAGTACAACTGACATTGAATAGGTTGATTTGTTCTGATTTGATTGGAAGAGGTATAGATATAGATTCAGTCCAATATGTGATAAGTTATGATGTACCAGTCTATATGGATAAATATATTCACCGTGTGGGTCGTACGGCAAGAGCAGGTAGACATGGTGTGGCATACACACTAGTTGAAAAACAGCAGGCTCGACATTTTAAGGAGATGTTACGTCAGGCAGGACATCTGAACCAAGTAGAGCTGTTGGATATAGAAAAAGAGAAATTAGAAGAATTAGCACCAGATTATGAAAACGCAATTTCAAGTGTAACTGATGACTAAAAAAAAATAAAAAAGTAACGCAGTGGATCAGGAAACCACTCTTTTTTTTCTGATATTTTAAAAAGCGTCTGTACACATATGTCAACAAGATCATGTTTGGTGTCGTGTTTGAGAGCTATCTTATTATAGGATCAAGAGTACTTTAAATCTTTCATTGTGTCTAATATAATTGTCAAACTCTTTCTTCATTGATCTAACAGCCAAAGGATATACTCCGCATTCTCTGATATTCTGCAGAATAATTTTACAGTTTACTTTTTTTCAGCAGTGCAGGTCAAAGTGTAAGAGACTTTGAAGTTTATGCAAAAAAAAAGGGAACAAAAGGATACATCAATTCTGTTCAAGATTCGTTAAGACGAAGAGGCAAAGTGTGACTTTTGCTCAATGCTATTTCAAAAATCTGTGCGTGGATAAGCCGTACTTGAACACATAGAAGCTTTTATTGTATTGTAGGTTTAAGGCGAGCGAGACACAGTTTAGAAGTCAAGCCTTGAGCTTATATTAAGGACTTTAGTTGTTCTTCGACTTTTTCCCAGTCGCTAGTTGGTACATAAGTAATGGGTCGTTGAAAGTGATTTTCAATTTGTCTCATCTGTTCCCAGCTTTGTTTACTGTCTATAAGTATAATACTGACACCTGTACGTCCAAAGCGACCAGTACGACCAATTCGGTGAAGGTAGGCTTCAAAATCAACATTATTGCGTTGGTCAAGTGGAAGGTCATAGTTGATAACGAGCGAGACTTGTGAAATATCTATACCACGAGCAATAACGTTTGTTGTAATCAAGACCTTGTATTCTCCTCTTCTGAAATCATCCATAGCCTTATCACGTTCTTCTGGTAACATTTTACCGTGAAGCGAAATGACAGAGTGTCCTTGCTGAGACATGCGCTTTGCGATCTCGTCTGCTGAATCACGTCGCTTACAAAAGATAATACTTTGACTAACTGTCAATAAATCATAGATATTGCATAGTACTTGATATTTGTGCTCTTCACTATCGCAATCCATATAAAATTGTTTAATAGCATCTACGCTCAAATCTTCACGCTTCAATGATATTTCATTTGCATTTGGTGCAAATCCAGCTGCAAACTTTCGTACATTATCTGGGAACGTAGCTGAAAACAATACAACCTGAGGGTTACCCTTGAGCATCCTATAAACACAGCTGTTAATTTCACTATTACTTTAAAAAAAAACCACGTACTTTTTAATACGAATACTTTGATCACCTAAACCATCTTGATCCAACATGTTATCAGCCTCATCCAAAACAAAGATTTTAACTGCTTGAACGGGTAGTTGTCTCTTTCTGATGACATCTGCAACAGTACCGGGTGTACCCACGATAACTTGAGCTTGAATAGGCTCGTTTCTTCTAAGCGAATCCTTTACAACTAGCTTGCTGGTAATGTTTGTAAATTTACTCATAGCCAAAACGACATCCATGATTTGTCGAGCAAGTTCTCGGGAAGGTGCTAAACAGATAGCCTAGAGTGCACATAGTCTAGGAATGTTTTCAAAAAAAAAGAAACCCTTGGTAGCTTACCTGTGGGACATTGATAGCAGGATTCAATCTAGTCAACATTGTAAGAACAAAGGCAGCAGTTTTGCCTGTTCCACTTTGAGACTGACCGATCATGTTTTTTGGACTAAAAATGGTAAGTAAATAATACCGATTAAGGAGTCAATACTTACGGGTTACTGATCAATAAAGGTAAAGCTCTTTCCTGGATTTTGGAAGGCTTAGAAAAGTTCATTGCATATAAACCCTTCAATAATTCGGGGCTCCTGATAATTGCTGTTAATGGCTGTGTGATTTTATACTGATTTTTACATACAATCCAAGTTCTTCAAAGGATTTGACAGAGTATAGAGGGGAATTAGGATCTGCTTGTTGATCTGCAAGCTTCACTTGCACAGTATGAGTGCTTTGAATCAAGTTGTTTTGAGACTGAGCGTCTAACAAACAAGAGAAGCAATAAATCTCGTAAAAAAGCTACTTTGCTTCGATTGAATTATAGTCAATACCTGGTTTCTCATCATGTTGCTTTTCGTCTATTTAAATTTGTTAATTGTTGTTTTTAGTGTTGATTCACAGTGTTTACCCTTGGGTGGTTGTTGATCCGCATTGGCTACAAATATTAGAGTGAGTCAAGTGAATTTAGGTTTACATGTGAACTTACGCGCTGTAGCGAGAGAACCGAGTCTTGCAGTAATATTATCAACAGGATCTATTTATGATCAATTTAATGTAAGTTGCACTTAAGTGATGTATTCGAGGCAAGAAAGCAAAGTTATTAAACTGGCTTTGCTTTCTTATTGATGCCTTTTTATCCATCATGTTCATACCAGACATGTTTGTTTTTTTTTAAAAAAAAAAGAAAAAAAAAGTTTTTGTATTTTCAAAAATTACCAAAAATAGTAGTAGCACTCTGCTGCTTTACGTTTAAACAGATTTTTATTTATAAATAATTAAAACCTCTATTGGGCGCACGATTGTCATATTACATCTTTTCTGTCCGAGGCAGTTTATAAAGGAAGGATAGTGGTGGCCGAGAAACCCTTTTAGGATCAAGGGTAAAAATGCTTTGGAAGGAGTGAATGAGATCAAGTGTAAGATACACTACTGAGAAGGAGAAGAGGGGAGCTATTCTAAGAGTCTTTGTCCGAGGTGAATAGGCGGAATAGACGGAAGCTTAGCGTGATATAGGTAATCGAGTTCATATAGGATTCTGCATATAGTTGGCCAGCGGATGGTCTACGAGAGCGTTGTGTTAGGAGAGCGAAGTTTCCTGATAGATAGCATAGTTAAAGAAAGGACAATGGGCCAGAGATAATTTGGAACATTATGAGTCTATGGTACATATGGGAACAGTAAATGGTATGGATTTTTGTGAAGGGTTGGTCAGGGTGCTAAGGGCAGGCTTTGTACCGACCACCACGGAGCCAGCCAAGACGCCAACGTATGCAGCGACTTCTTTCAGACTTAGATATAGGTAGCCAAAGGACAGGGACGAGAGAGATAGTTGGGCGACAGTGCTTAAGAAGAACGGGGACATGTGCAGAACGTTTATTGTTGAGGTTGTCTTGGCGGTATTCTCGTTGTATCGACTGTAAGGAGCGGCGATTCAGGAACTCTGGGTTGGAAGAACATCGCTTCCAAATCGGAGATCTAGAGAGCTTGTACCATTGGAAACGGCTTCAGGGCTAGTGGAGAAGTGGAAGAAGATGGTGTAACAGAGCATCTTCTGGAAAAGTAAGGGAGCGTAGAAAGAACTGAGATTGCAGAGTATAAGCACATTCCTGCACGGTTGGTGGCTTCGACAAATGTAGCATTACAGTGGTGGAAGACGTGTAGGAGCCACCAAAAATTCGACGCAAACAGGCACTTTGAGCATCTTCCAGTTGTTTGCTAAAGAATGTAGTGATCTTGGTAATGGCCAAGCTGTATTCCAATTGAGCACGAACAATGCGGCTGTAAAAGCGGGTACCAAAGAGAGGAGAAAAGCCTTTAAGGTGAACACCCAATAGCTGAGAGTTGGTCATAGTGGCAAGGACTTTGGTCTTGTTTTTGATTGACCAATGTAGTAGTATCGGAATAGCCACCAGGACGAAAGGGAATTCCGGGTTAAGGAAAGGAAGGTTGTTTTTGAATTGGTTCGCCATAGAGGGTGTAACTTGGAGCCGGTTGCTTTGGATCTAATAAAACACATTTACTTGGGATCCATTGGTGCCCAAACTTGTAACTATAATCTTCACAAGACTTGAGGAGAGTTAGCATGTCGGCCTTATCAGCTATGACAACCACATTGTCAGCATAGAGGAGACAGTTCAACCGAAAGATAAGTTCGTCAGGGAAAATATCCGTGGTTATATGTCGTGGGCGCGGAAGGCAAGGTAACTCGTTAATATAGAAAGCTGAAAAAAAGTTAAATGAACCACTCTGCTGCTTTACACTTTTTTCACAAACTATTTGCACACTGATAAAAAAAATGATAATTTCAGACAGCAAATGAGACTACAAATCATAATAAAAGAGAGCCCATCAGAAGCAAGAGAATAGGATATAATAGAAACGATTATTGCATCAGTTATTTACATTGATATTAACTACTTACTTTATAAAGAAGAGGATTTATAAGAGAAAAAGAGAAGCAAGGAAAGTGAGTAAAAATATGAAGAGGTTATTAGCATCTTACCCGAAGTGTATCCTGGTTTGGGCTGGCGCTAACCAGCCCGGAAAGATCAAAGAAAAAAAGAAAAAAAAAAAGAGAGAGAGCAAGCATAGAGATTATAGAGAACATAGAAAGAGCATAGAAAGAGCATAGAAAGAGCATAGAAAGAGCGGCTAAAGGAGTGGATGGGACCAAATTTTGGTAAGAACCAAACTATCTCCAGCCAACATCAGGTTAGTTTCGATTTTATGATATATAGTACTACATATCTTAGGGCTATCTAGGGGATAGCTGGTCTTACTTTTTGGTCCAAAAAAGAAAGAAGAAAAGAAGCCAAGATCAGACTATTTATATGAAGCCTCTAACAACTTTTCATTTGAATAAAGTGTTGACCACATTTATCTTCTCTTCTCTCAAAAAGATAAAATCCATTGCTTTTTTAATATTACAGAAAGGATTGATAATCAACTAAAATGTAATCGTTGTTGATCTTGTAATGCGCGAATAATTTCTGAAAATGGTGTATATATCTACGTTCTCTTTTCTTTTCGCCATTACTTTGGTTATTTAAACAAATTACAAAGTTTACAAAGAACGTAAGATATTATTTTTATCAATACTAATATGTATTAACTCTCTTTTAAATAAAGTGCTATTAGAACCAAAGAAATCGTATACAAAAGCGTAATTTATTTCATCTTTCTAATGAAAGCACATTGTTGAAGAGCAAAGGGCCAAACCAGTGGCTGGATAGTGCTGGTTAAAGCACCCTACGAAATGCAGCATTCCTTGATCTAATATTACAGTTATTATTAACATAATCTGCAAGAATCGATCAAATATTCAATGCTGCATTGATGTCTCGGTTCCGGGCCTATCACTGGATGAAGTTGACTGTATTAAAATAGAATAAGTAGTACCTAACTAGTTATAACTAAGCAAAAGTAACTGACCAAGTTTTCACCATGAGCATTACCAGCTGAACACTGTCTACAAAGTTTCAACGGGTATACAGTGGGGACATAGCCTATTTTGTAAATGATTAGGTTAGAACATAAACTTTAAGCGTTCGAAGTTTAGCAGATATACCTATTTGCGTTTTATCGGGAAAGGAATTGGATCGATCAATAATGCTATTGTCATCATTTACATACCACTTAGCACGATTTTTCTCTGAATCCCCAAGCGGACGACCGTGGAATTTGTAGCGACAGTTTTGCTGGATTTTTACAACAGCTTGCAAAATCTAATTCTTATAGAGGACTATGTCCATGTCCACACTGCAAATTATGCAAGAAAATGGAAGGAAGAGCATGGACTTGATAAGCTAAAGTGGCCTACGCTATCTCTAGAGCTGAACCCCATTGAAACTCTCTGGTATCAAATGAAGACAGAGATAAAACCCAATAGGATGGGGATGAAGGTCATGGAAGACTTGAAGGAGGTTGTGGGAGGCGTATGTGGCTATACTTTTGGGACATAAAATCAATAGGCTTATAGATAGTGTGCCGCTGGTACACTTTTTTTGTGTAGCGAAGATTCGCCTTGTTTGGGTTTAAAACCCAAAGTATCAAGCACTTTCAATATCTTCAACAACGACAACTACTATTCCAGGAACATGATTTCATGCACATGAACTTATGTATCCCAATTTTTTAAATCTATTTTTGCTATAAATACTTTGGTCCTTTGAACAATTAAAATCTTATCCTACCTCATGTATATCAAGTATTTAATATTTTAGATTAAATCATCCCTTGACGATAACTGAATGAAGGCAAGATACATGCTCAGTATTATCGTAATTTTTGGATATTGCACATTTATACAGTTAATGTATGCAGTAATACATTACTTTGATATACCAATATGATTGGAGAATTAAAGATTGAAGACTTTCATAAAGTAGAGGTTTCTCGCCACTCTTTGCCCACCTTTAGATAAGGTTTGTAAAGGAAAGAAACGAAGGTAGTGCAGCTTTTAGTTTACCCAGGCGCACATTATTTGATAGTATCTCAAAGACTGCGTTATCAGTTTCACCACTTTCAAGCTACTGGCAAGTGCCCAGTAAACACCTTTAAAAAATGTTTGAGCTTATTTGCCAATCAAAAAATACACTGAAATTTAGTCCGAAACTTCAATAATAGCTTTTTCTTTTAAGTCATGTCAACACAAAGTGGTATTCAAGGTAAACTATAGACATGATATCTACAGTGCTTATTAAAGCCTGGTTATATTAGTTTCAGAAGAGCTTTCAAAGGTATTCACAGATGCCGTCGCAAGTGGCAATGTACGCATTTTAAGAGTTTCCATCCAAAATGGTAAATAAAATGGAGCAAATGAACCCCTAATGTTAAACTGCTTTGAATAAAAGAATCATTGATACCTAATGGTACCACACCTGTTCAAGAGGATTTTCAAAAGGGTAACTTGAAGAATACATGTAGAACGTTTCAGAATAACACCGGATATTAGATTTTCAGCACGTTTCCGATTATCTTGAACCAACCACGCCTGCCTATGTATTCGTCCGTATGGATGAAAAGTCAAGTACAGGAGAGTATAACTGGTTATTTCTCTGCTATGTCCCTGACAATGCAAAGATTCGTGATAAAATGCTGTATGCTTCCACAAGAGCTACACTCACCAAGGAACTAGGTGATTATCGCTTTGTGGACAGCATTTACGGAACTGACAAGGTAAACGGATATAGTGTCTTGATCTCAATTGTACTCATAGTGGTTGTAGTCGGAGTTCAGCTGGGATGGATACAAAAAGCACCTTGCTCATAAATCGGCTGAGGCACCGTTGACAAGACGTGAGCAAGAACTGGCTGAAATCAGAGCTGCCGAGGTAAATAATAAATAAAATAACAAATGACAAATGCTTAGCTATAGTGAGTCTAGGCTAAAGCAGTTTCTGATTATCAAGGAACAACGGCAAGAAAAAGCTATGCTCCTGGTGTAGCATTCCCTTTAACCGAAAAAGCAATTGAAGCTCTTTCAGAATTGAAAAAGGATAAAGAAGAACGCTCAAGTAATTTTGTTTCCTTGGTAACAGATTATTAATAGATGTGTCTACTACTATCTAACCATGGTCGTCAGCATTTGAATAGCGAAAAGGTTGATCTGGATACGGTTGCTAACGTTACAGTTAATGATCTACAAAAGACCATAAGCAGTAATGCCCCAAGATTTACGTTTTATATCTTTGATGATGGCAGCAAAGAATCACTTGGTATATACAAAAGAAAAAAAAAAAAAAGGATGAAGCTAATATAAGCTATAGTATTCATTTATACTTGTCCTTCAACTTCTAAAATCAGAGAGCGTATGCTTTACTCCTCATCCAAGTCAAACGTGATTACAGCAGCCGAAAATGAGGCATCAGTTCAAGTTGTTAAAAAAGTAACAATGTTTATCTTTGTGTGTGCATGGGCTGAGGATTAATATTCTTTTGTATAGTTTGAAACGAGTGATCTTGATGATTTGACAGAAGCTTATTTCAAAGAAGAGCTTTCGTCATCATCATCAAATACTAACATAGTAAATGAGCGTATTAATATGCTTGGAGGTACTAAGCAGGGTTTCAAAAGACCTACAGCACCTGGTAGAAGAAGACCAGGTACTACATCACTTGCTTAAATAAAAGGAAACTGAATTTCAAAGTTTAAAATGATCCAACCAAATGTCAATCCACCAACACGCGCACAAAAAGATATTTATAAGATGCACAAAAAGTGATATTAGATTGGTTCATGAATAAGGGAGGGAAAGAAGGAAACAGAATGAATGGGACAAAGGGCTTTTCCTTTTTTTTTTCTCAATCTCTTTTTTTTTTTTCTTACAACAATAGAAAGACAACAAGGGCGTAAGCTAAAGTAGTATTATCTATGCGACCCAAAAAATACCATTTAAATATTGCAGAATATCCTACAGATTTACTTGTTAAAATTGTCGCCGATCTATTAATTTCAATAGTCAAAGAAAATGATAAACTATCTAATCAATCAGTAACCCATTTTCATTCTCGCACTGTGCCTCCTATCGGTATCTATGCTTACCTCAGCCGTATACTCAAATTCACTTCATTCTCGAATGAAGCTTTATTGTCTACTCTCATCTATTTTGATCGCATTGCTCAGCATAAGGGTCCAAATTATGCAGTCAATTCACTCACTGTACATCGATTACTTATAACCAGGTAAACTCTGTTCATTCTGGCTCTGTTTATAAAAAACTAATGCAATATACAGTATTCTTGTTGCTTCCAAATTCACGTCCGATGTATTCTACTCTAATACTCGATACGCCAAAGTATATATATTTATGCACATACATTTATCATTTATTATTATGCATCAAGCTTACATGTCTTGTCTTAGGTTGGAGGAATCCCTTTATGTGAGCTAAATCAGCTAGAGTTGGAATTTTTATTTTTATGTAAATTTGATTTACACGTCAAACTGGAAAACATGCAGGCCTATGGAGATCAGTTACTGACGCATGCGCTGACACAGCAAAACAAAAATATTACATCATTTCCCTTATCACCGCCACTTGAAGATAATTGTAAAAGGAAAAGACCAATAGATGATCATGACACGAGGATCAGTAACAAAAAGCTAGTATGCCCTATTTCTTATACCCCAGATTACTCTAATGTGTAAATATCTATACGATGTAAAGAAGCCCTCTCTCTCTGTGTGTGTTGTGTACAAATGATCAAAATGAATGGTTGTTTTATTTACATCTATGAAATTAAATAGTTGTCTTCTTCTTTTTTCTTGTATGACTTTTTTCACCAAAGCCTTCATCGTGCAATTTCTATGTATTTAAAGTGTTGGGGCTTTTATATAAATCATTACTGACAATCACTTACCATGCTTGCCATACGTTTGGCTGCAGTCACTTCTGACAGTATGTCTAATACTTCATCTTCATCAACCTCATACTTTTCCATCGTCTTGTCTATCATGGATTGTTAGTCTCTGATATCATACAATCTGTCTCTTTTCTTACTTGTTCTTCCTTCAATATTTTGAATCAATTGGATATCTTTTTCTGTTACAATAGAAATTGCTTTACCATCTCGGCCTGCACGGGCAGTACGACCGACACGATGGATATAATCTGTTGGGTCTCTTGGAATGTCATAGTTCAATACGCATTCAACGGAGGGAATATCCAAACCACTATATATACAATTCAGTATCGATAGCATGTTATTATTAATTTTATAACTTACCGACTGCCCACATCTGTTGAAATCAAAATCTTTACGACTTCGGCTCTAAACTTGCCTAAGGAGTCTAATCGCTGCTGTTGACTCATCTCTGAGTGAAGAGCTGTACATCGAATGCCTAATTCTTTCAACATAACCGTAATAAGTTCTGCTGTCGAGCATCGACCACAAAAGATAATGATCGACTTGTCGTTCAAATCGTCTGTACGTAGCAGGTGTGCAAGATAGACTATCTTCACTTGGGATGGCACAAAGACATAATACTGGTCTAGTGTACTCACAGTTGATATAGACATATCGCAGACATGAACAAATGGTTTTTTTGCAGGGTCTTCTTCTACATCCTTTAGAGCTAAAATTGATTCTGTCATTGTTGCTGTGAATAAAAGTGTTTGACGATTCTTGGGCAATAAAGGCAAAATCACTTCGAGATCAGGTACAAACGTAGAAGACAACATACGATCAGCTTCATCCATTACTAAAAATTTACATCTTCTTAAATCTACTGCTCCTGAACTACTATGTATATGATCACGTAATCGCCCTGGTGTGGCAATAATGATATGAGGACGCTTTGATAGTTCTATCGCTTGTGTCATCATGTCTATAAACAAGTTAGCTACAGATTATTAACAATTACTTAGACTTACCCATGCCACCAACTACAACACATTCTTTGGCACCAATGCCCTTGCCAAGTACTCTGAACTGCTCTGCAATCTGAAATGCAAGTTCTCTGGTCGGTGTCAGCACCAGAGCAAATACTCCATAAGGATCTTCAGATAATTTCTGTAAAATAGGGATCGCAAATGCTGCAGTCTTACCAGAACCTGTCTTTGCTCCACCAATGACATCCTTTCCTTCAAGGATAGGTGGTATACAGGCTCGCTGAATCTCGGTTGGCAACTTGATCGACATGGACTTTAACGTATCAATCATCCATTCTTGAACTCCAAGCTTCAAGAATCCAGTTCCTTCAGGTGCAATCGTTTGTTCTTTTCTTTCTAATGCTTTCTTCTTTGAGGCAGCTACTCTGCTTAAGGTTCTATTTTCTGTCATCGATCAACGATCTTTTTTCAAGGAAACAAAAAAAAAAGGACGAAAAATTTTACACTCGTTGCAGAGTAAGTATACCCATAGTTACATTTCATTGGTTAATTTTTATACTCCATCAAGTAAAAAGCATATCAACGCTGCTTCACTGAATTGCTTATAATAATGAACGACACCTGTTCCTGTTGATCAATCATAGTGATGTAGTCATGTTTATTTAAAATACTCGTTTCACTTAATTGTCGGACTTGACTTGCATCATCCTTTGTGCTCATGATCTAACTTTAAGTAAAAAAACGGTATCAACAAATGCAGCATATACGAACCACAGTTTACTTCTTCAAACGTGGTAATAGAAACACACACACTTTTTTTTTCCCACAAATAAATTGCATTGTTTATTTGTTCTGTCTATGATGATGATGATGTTGTTGTTGCTGTTGTGTAAAATTCTAGCCAATAAGATAAGATGCTTCTCTTTAAATACGCTTTACATACGAATTTGTTTTCCCCCAATTTTTCTTTTTACTTTATAGTTCCACTTTATGAGTACTCGACCTACCGCTGAAAGACGGCTTTCTATGCCTAAGCTAACCCGTCGACTCACAAATGTTGTCATCCATGTTGACGAGGACCAAAACGGAAACGTTGAACCCGTAGCTTCTGAAAGCGTTCCTTCTCATAAGTCAAGACATATCAAGTTGGAAGGAGACGCCTTAAAGGAATGGAAGAAATATATGACATCAAAGGAAAATGATCCAGAGTCTATCAAGAAAGATATTGTCCATCATGCTGTGGAGACCTTGTGTCGCGGTCCTAGTAATTTGGATAAATTAGCGATTTATCAAGCGACGGCTTTAGCTGTACGTGATCGTATCTTGGAGGAATGGAATCTCACAGAAGAAATCATGCGAGAACAAAATCCCAAGCGGTGCTATTACTTGTCTATGGAATTTTTAATTGGCCGTGCACTGGACAATGCACTTCTCTGTCTCAAGGCAAAGGATGCTTATAAAAAGAGTGTGCAGGATCTAGGATTCAGTCTTGAGGAGTTGCTTGATCAAGAAAGAGATGCTGCTTTAGGTAATGGCGGCCTTGGTCGCCTTGCCGCATGCTACATGGATGCAGCTGCCACTTTGGATTATCCTACTTGGGGGTATGGATTACGTTATCAGTATGGTATCTTTAAGCAGCTGATTAATAAGGAGGGATATCAAACAGAGATGCCAGATTACTGGCTTGATCCAACTGTTAACCCATGGGAATTTCCAAGGAACGACGTGTCTTATGAGGTTCAGTTCTATGGTTATGTAGCTACAAAGGTAAATGATAAGGGGGAATCTCGTATGTCCTGGGAAGGTGGACAAAGAGTCAAGGCAATGGCGTATGATGTTCCTATTCCTGGCTTTGGCACCAAGGGCTGCGGCAATATCCGCCTATGGTCTTCCAAGTCATTAAATGCGTTTGATTTTGCTTCCTTTAACGAAGGCGATTACGACAAGTCTGTAGCAGATCAAAAGAGCGCAGAGAACCTGACATCTGTTCTTTACCCTAACGACAACCATTTGGTAGGCAAAGAGCTTCGATTGAAGCAAGAGTACTTCTTTGTAAGTGCCTCACTGCAAGACATCATTCACCGCTTCAAGCGCACGAATTCAGCATGGAAGGATTTCCCTGGCAAAGTCGCTGTTCAGTTGAACGATACGCATCCTACCTTAGCTATTCCTGAACTTCAGCGAATCCTGGTCGATATCGAAGGACTAGACTGGGATGCTGCCTGGGACATTGTCACACGTGTGTTTGCCTTTACCAATCATACGGTGCTGCCTGAAGCTTTGGAGAGATGGTCTGTGCCCATGATGGAACATATACTGCCCCGACATATGCAAATCATTTATGACATCAATCTCTTCTTTTTGCAAAAGGTTGAAAAGATGCACTATGGTGATCGTGAACTATTAAACCGCGTATCTATCATTGAGGAATCAAACCCTCAACAGATACGTATGGCCTACCTTGCTGTTGCTGGTTCTCATAAAGTAAACGGTGTCGCAGCTCTTCACTCAGACCTGGTCAAGTCACAACTGTTCCCTGATTTCATTCGTTATTATGGGCCTGAAAAGTTCATTAATATCACCAACGGTATAACCCCTCGTAGATGGCTCTATCAGGCTAACCCAGGCTTACGTGACTTGATTACCGAGACGCTTGGCTCTGAAAAATGGGTCACCCACTTGGATGAGCTGAAGGGACTCAAGAAATTTGCAAATGATGAAGAATTTCAAAAGAAATGGATGCAAGTCAAGCATGATAACAAGGTTCGTTTGGCCCAATGGATTAAATCCAACTTGGGTATCAACGTAAATCCCAATGCTCTCTTTGATATTCAAGTAAAGCGTATTCATGAATATAAGCGACAATTCATGAACATCTTGGGTGTCATCTACCGCTACAAGAATATCAAATTACTATCGGATGAGGAAAAAGAACAACTGACTCCTCGAGTGGTCATTTTTGGTGGCAAATCAGCTCCTGGCTATTATATAGCCAAGATGGTCATTAAGCTGATCAATACGGTGGCTGAAGTGGTTAACAATGATTCAACTATCAATGACCTATTGAAAGTTGTGTATATCCCAGACTATAATGTTTCCTTGGCCGAAATCATCACTCCTGCATCCGATATCTCTCAGCATATTTCAACTGCTGGTACAGAGGCCTCTGGTACATCCAACATGAAGTTTGTCCTTAACGGCGGTCTTATCCTTGGTACGGTTGATGGCGCCAATATTGAAATTCGTGACGAGATTGGTGAAGACAACATATTCATGTTTGGCACCTTGGCTGATAAAGTTGCTGATATTCGTCATCATCAAAAGTATCATGGCGTCCTTATCGATCCTAACCTCCAGATCGTTCTCCAATCCATTCAGTCTGGCGAATTTGGTGGACCTGAAACAGCTTCTGTCTTTGGTCCTCTCATCAATACCTTAACCTATGGCGGTGATTATTATTTGATTTCTGCTGATTTCGAAATGTATCTTGATGCTCAGGATCATGTTGATGCTGTCTATAAAGACAAGAAGAGCTGGGCAAAGAAATCCATTCTCTGTACTGCTGGTATGGGCTTTTTCTCAGCTGATCGTGCTGTAAAAGAATATGCTGACAAGATTTGGAATCTCAAGCCTGTTTCTATATAAAGTAACAATATGCTGTACAGTCGTTCCACCTTTGACTGGATAATTTTTTGAGAAAATAAATTGGTCACTGTTTTATTTTTCATTTGAAGCGATTGTAACTCACACGGACTACTTGAAAGATGTAGCCTTCAGTGAGTCTTCTCTTTCTTGTTCTATGCTGATAGATAAGTTAAAAATGAAGACATCCATATGAAGGAGACAAATATAAAACAGGATTATGTTTGCTATTCAATACAGGATAAAGCTAAGCTTTTCGATCTAAAGATTGAAGAATGTATGAGCGCATTGGTTGCAGCAAAGCAATTGGGTATTCACACTCTAACAGCGCAGAGATGGGTTAAGCAGTTTAATAACATTTTTGAGAGCTGTGAAAAAATAGACTGTAAATGTACTTTGACCGTAAAGTATAAAACGAAAGTCTTAAAAGAAAATTATTGTTTTATTGTGTTTTGGAAGTGATGAGTACTTATATAAGATAACCTGAGTATGAACGGTGGCTACAATGATGGACAAAATACTGAGAGGGTAAATGAACTACGAGTCCCAAAATTGAGACACAAATAGATGCAATTAGCAAAACAGTCAATGATATGAAATAGTTCCTTTTTTCACTTACAAAATATCAAATATTCAAAGTGCTAAATATTCGTTGTTGTTAAGCAATCAGTACAAGTTAATAAATTATCAAAGAAGACTTACATTTCAAGTAGTATTACTGTCATCGACAGCAGGCCTAACTTTGTTTGCACTAAAGAAAGAAGCGGCATTCGCTTTAAACTTATCAGTGTTGGATTGACTGGTTTTTGGGTTGAATTGTGGGAAAGTTGCATCAAAAAGGAGCGTTGCTAGACCTGACTGGCCGATTGCCATTGCAGACATGGTGTCCCATCTTTTCACAGCTTTTTTTGCTTGAACAGAGACACAACTTGAGTTCTCACAAAAAATGCGCCATTAACTATTCTTAGTCGACTTACTCCGTTTCTATGAACTATTCGTACTGAATGTGATAATTTATTGAAGCAGTATACGTGTTTGAGAGGTATTATGCCCATTTGTTATACATACAATTGTATACAGACTGTACTTCTTCGGTTTCCAGTGGCCACCGTAATGCATGAGTCCTTTTGTTCGTGAGCCTACACTTAGACCGTGGTCACCGACAAAAATGGTGGGTCTAACGCCTTTGACATCAGATGCTGCAAACCGACGTTCCGCTGAGCAAAGCCTGTCGATATATCTATGTTTTTGCAATTCATATCTCCTTTTTTGCTTAGCTCGTTGTGGTGAAAAGTACATAGCTGAATTGTTGTCAATCATGCACTGAACGTCTTCATCATTGACAGTAAGACGGTTGTTCATTTGGTTACTCATGTTAAACTAGAGTATCAATGCACTATTTAGAAATACTAAAAAGAGAAAACTTAGCATAAAGATAGGACTTACAATAGGTTCAAAGAGATTTAATGTAGAATTAAAAGTGTACCTCTCTCTTTTATAGCTTTCTGAAGTCTTGGTACCTTGATTTTGTTAATTACTATATTAAGAAAATAAGCCAGATCTTGGCATGAAAAAACATTATCTTATTGAATAAACCGTCTTCTAAATGTTATGAGTTACAAATGAGTATTTGTAGGTTATTACTATGGTAATTTTTAAGGTATTTTTAAGCTGACAGACTAAAAAATACTTTCAAGGATTTTTGAGTTTCGACAGGTACTTTTTTGAGTCAGAGTTGAGTCTGAAGGTTCATGACTGGAAAGAGTAGCGCCTTTCTGTAAGCAGAGCTGCAGTCTTTAAGAGGGTGAATTCATCTGTTGGTGGAACAATGGTTTATTCAGTGCTTCGTCGAAGTCAGTGTCTTCCAGAGTCTGGTGTCAACATTCGAGCCTGGACGTAGGTCTAGGTTGGGAGGCTGTTCAATACTGGGGAGCCGCTCGAGGCTAGCAATAGAGTCTAAAGGCTCATATACTGTCATTGCGATCATCCACTTCATTAGGCGATGCGAACCTCCAAAAGGTCAAAGACTGCTATATCCCTTGTGAGACTCATCCAATGAACTGTATATGAACAAGATGCTTATTAATAGATCTAGAGGCGTCGTGATGATAGGTACAAGAACGTATGAACCGCAGATAGCAATATGTATTGCGATAATTAGAGCATCTAGAAACCACTGCTTTATCTGTTACGACCTATACGAAGGTATTTAGCGCATATCCTGACCTTCCCCTGATGCTTACTTCTAGACTTGTCCAAAGTAAAATCATTATTTTTTTCATGTGTTAACAGGGTTTTGGAACTCGTCTGTTATTTGCTATTACCATTTTTGGTGACAGCGTTCTTTTGATTATGCGTAACTTACTTCATTTCTTTATACAAGATTATTACTTCATTTAACAACCACCGAAAAATAGTATTCATCTAGTTTTTACTAGCAAAATGTCAGGGAAAAAAAAAAGAGTTTGGCAGAGTAATACAAATAGTGCGTGACGAAGCCTAGAAAATAGGTTCAAAGACGCGTGACATAAACAAAGGATGCATGAAGTTTATTACCTTTTAGTCTTTTTACTATATAAAAAGAGGTGAATAACTTTAATAAAATACATGAATACAAATGATAATCTAATCGAATATAAAAAGCATAAAAAAGATAGGCAAAGAGTCATGAAACACTTTAAAAATAAATAAAAGTGTGAGCGTAAGCCTTATTTATTGACAAGATAGAAAACAATAGCCTCACAAAACTAAGAAAAGCGTATAAAAAGAGATATATTTGCTCTCATTTCTTTTTCTCCCTCCTTCTTTTCTATACTTTTTTTTCTTTTACCCTTTTTGGTTCCTTCTGGTGGCTCTCTGGGTTGTTTTCTTTGGTCAACGTAGCAGCCCAATGCACAATTAATCAATACACCGTTCAAACATGATTATATACCCTTCCATAACTTTATCATCCCCAAGCATACTATAACAATAATAAATAATTGATCTATAATGTTTAGCTTGACAAGGCTTGTCCTTGTTAAGAATACCGCAGGACATCCCTAGGGCACGCACCAAGCAGTTTATATTTTTGAAACTCCGTCTTAGGCTGCAGACTAAGAGTGCGCTTGAAATTTACATGCAGTCCGACTGGAGTCAACTGGCACGGCCAGCAACACGATATGTCATTTTTAAATCGGGTGTTAAATAAAGCATGATTTATTCCTGTTTTCTTTCTTTTTTGCTTCCACTTTATGTCACTTATTAGTTGTATACAAGATCAAGGTCCTTATTATAGAAAGCTTTCAAAGGACCTAGAAAGTGAAAATAGGGTTATCAGAGAATTGACAATAGCAAGAACAGAGCGTGACAGACTTGCTCGAGAGGTTGACATTAAACAAGACCAAGTCATTAAACTCGAGAAACAGTCGTAAGTAAGAGAACGTAAAAAAACGTTGTGCAGTCGCCTTATAGACACTGAATAGTAAGAAAGAGTTTGAAAGCGTCCGAAAGCTTCGACATTTATCTTTCAGATCAGCAGCAGCAACTTTATCCGGCAAAAAGAAAGAGCTAACAGCAAAAGAAGAGGCCGGATACCAATATGCTTTTGAAAATGAACAACGTGCAAAGCGAGAATTAGAGGGACTACAAGCACAATATAACAGTGTTATCATAAAAGTGAGTAAACATACCCTCCCTCAGTCTTATCGTGTGAACTCAGCTGGCCTAAAAGGAAAGAGAACTTGAGCAACAGAAAGCTCACTTTAGTGAATCAAGGGCTCAGTACAACGCATTATTAGAGCAGGTTAGAATTTCAAGAAGAATTAAGTTACACACTGCATAATAACATATGTCTTAGATATTTGAATCTGAAGATCCAGGATTCCCTGTGGAAGTGCAGTTAAGGAAGGATTTGAAGAGTTATTATGAACAAAAAGGACTGGTAATATCAAATCATGAATGTAATTTGGATCTACGAACACTAGTTGGTTTAGGCAAGTAGAGACAAACAGAGGTTCATGAATGCTGGTGATTCACTTGAAAAGACCAGCATTGGCATTAGAAAGGTGATACAGTTGCTAGACAGAGTAGTTAATTTTGTGCCATTCGATATATTCGGTGGCTCACTTATTGACGAAGAGCAAATTGTTGGCATAGAAGGTAAAATTGTAAAGTATGTTGGATATCAAATTTACTAATAAAGTGTCGTTTATGTGTAGCTGCCAAGAAAAAGATATGGGAAATACAGGGACATTTGAACGCAGCACGAACCTATTTACCAGAGATACCTTATCCACATACACTGGACATAGTTACCAATAATCCGATGATGAATATGCCTCTTAACTGGAACTATGTAGATATGACATGGAAAGGTAGATTATATACGTCTCTCAGCTCGCTATTTATTAACATTTCTACAAGTCAAAACTACACAATGTATTGCGATATTGGCTGCAGCCACTCAAAATGTAAAAAGCTCGATGAACTGGATAGAGCAATATAAAACTTATGCTGAAGGTGCAATCGAAAGGTTGAAGGCTGCAATTGAGAACACCAAGTTCTCTCTTGAAGAAGAACGACGCAGAATAATAGAGGCCGTGTTATCAGGGCAATTGAATGGCCTAAATTCCTCTGGTGGTAACTCATCCTCTGATCCCTCTCCTCCTCCTCCTGTTTATGAAGCACCACCTCCAGCAAGAAACTCGTTGGATCAAAATGGCAACCAAAGTAATGCATTACCGACGATCCCCTCAAACATATCACTACCCTCACCAGCGATCGAGTCCACAACACCTTTATATAGTCCATTAAATGAAACTACCATGAGCCCAAGAATGCCACAAGTATCATCATCGGAATCCTCAAACTATTTACAAGCACTGAGCCCTTCTCCTGCCAGAACCAATCCTTTCCGAGACAATATTTTAGCACCAACAAGCATACAACAGCATCAAGTGACGGGTAATACCAAGTACAATCCAAATAATCCCTTCAACTCATAAAAAATGAGCTTTCAAAAACACTAAATAACGATAGCCTAGTGTTTACAAATGAGAAAGCAAGGTATTTATGGACTTGTTCTAAATAAAACTCTTTTTTTTTTTAATATCTCATATTTATTGAATAATACACAGACTAATTATTAATTTGTACTTTTTTTTGTATGAAAGTGTGGACTTTATTTAACAATTTTTTAATAAACTATGTGCTTATAGTGGAAGATAGCTTCCGTTCAAAAGACAATGATGACAGGAATCCACTATGCTACAATTCGAAACTGCTGACTGCTGCAGCTGTATATCACGAATTGTCATCGAAGATGCAACGCCAGTGGTATATCCATATAGTTGTGATACCCGAGCCAAATAAGCAAAGAACGTCCGTATCGACTGTTGTTTGCTCGTTTACCGAAACAAAAGAAGTGAGCACAGACCATATTTCATCTACAGTAAGGAACTTGACCGGCAGAGAATATCTCTCAAAAATGGAGGACCAGAAGTTGAGTTTGAGAGAGCAGCTCACAAAGAAATGGTGGTATGTTTCAGCGTCTTGTTGGCAGAGTCTGTACAGTGGAGAGGTGGTCACGCTGGGATCCCAGACATGCTGTAAGGCAGCTGTAGGAAGAAAATAATTAGAGAATCGCAGCGAAATGTACAATGTGTCAAAAGTGAAGTGCCCCTTCATTGTAGAAATATTTTACTATTAAACAAAACATGATTATATAGTTGATATGGCATTTATTAAGTGCCCATTAGCCGTCGATCGCGGGTTCCTTTCTTTGTTTGCTCAAACACAAACAAATTTATTCAAGGAAGCAAGTGGTGATGACTTTCAAGAAACTCCACTACGTAGAAAAGGTAAAGATAACATCTATTAGTTCCATCTGTTTTATAACTGAATGTTGTAATAGAAAAGAACATCCATACTACCTTGAAAGCTGGTAAAGAAGATACAACTGCTCCTAGCCCTTCAAACGTTGTTACCATTGACAAGACACCTATGCATACAGTCAACAAATGTACTAGTGTTGAAGCTGTATTACATACTCCTATTCCTTCCACTAGCTGTACTTCTGCTCCCATCAAGGCCTCTAAGAAATATCAAGACAAGGTTGATAAGACTGAAACAGTCAAAAAGGAAAAAGAAAAGAACAAGACGACAGGAAATGAGTAAAAACAAGAACGGTATTCTTCTTGTGATGGAACTGATCACTGTCGCTCCTTCAGCAAGTTGTGTCCTATGAATAAGTCAAAAACGAAGCTTCCAAAGCTTAAAGGTACCGTCGAGAAAACTTCTGTAATCAAGACATCTTTGGCTAATACCTGTAGATATCTCAAGCTTGTTACCTTAATCCAAGAAGTAGTTGACCACATTACTCAACTGGCATACGCTGGTTTCATCTTTGCTGATCACTATTTCTTGGAACTTCTCGAGAGCGGTGAAGAACTGCCTGTGGTTACTCAAAATCTATACTATAATATATTTTCTATTTTTGCTGGCCATGGAAAATATGTCTTTGATAGTATCAAGAAGAGCTTCAAGACCTTTTGTAAATCTCTTTCTCTTAATCAATGTGGATTAAAGCGAAGAGTACATGCTGTGAATTTTGTGGTGTGGAATCACGATGTGAACAGTGCATTAAATATATATAATATCTTTGTTTACAAATCAAAACATGACAATGAAAGTCCTCCCCCTTCAAAAGACTAACGGTGCTCCTTGGATTTAATGCGCTATCTATAACGGCAGTGCATTCCTTAACGCCTCGGTAAGTATAAAACGAATAATACGAAATGTTTTATTCATTAATCTTCTAGTTAGTTTGTACATGAATCCTATTAAAGTATAATTACACTATTTTACTTTCTATTATCTTCTTTGCCACCGAAACGGAAGGTGAATACGTTTAGAAGAGATTTTAGAGTCCTTTTTTGCTCTTTTCAACCTTTTTTCATACAGCTCAAACTGTCTGCCTTTAGCCACAACGTTTGGATACCACCACTGATAAACAAATGTAATTGTATATCGTGGTAAGAAGGCTAGAGTGAAGGCAATGATAAATGTCATCCAAAAGGACCAAGAGCCAAATACCATCTGTGCCATCCCATAAAGAGAAACTGAAGGAAAAGAGCCATAGATGACCACCCATAGGAAGGCGACCAAGAGTTCGATAGTTACAAACACAACCTGCAACCAAGTCCAATACCATGTGTTGAACCCAGGGACTAGGTTAGCTAGCACAATCGCTGTTACTGCAACAGACGTCGAAAACTGTAGGTTGGACTCAGGCTCACCGTTCGCGTTTGGATTCGTCTCGTATAAAAAGTAAAATGAATAAAAGACGACAAGAGATTGCCAGATACCGTCAGCAAAGTAGAGCCAAAACCTAAATCGTGTATATAATTTTCTTTCAATACCAATCGTGTACACTTGAGGAAGATGCTTCAAATAAGGAGCAGTTATATCTTGATCAGTAGCACCTATGTTTAAACAGTTAGTTTTGCATGACTCTATCTATTTATAGCAAATACCATACCAAGGACAACAATAGGCGCCAGTGTGAAAATGATATTATAAAGTTGCAAAAAGGAATAATCATAAAAAATATTGCCTGACCATGAGCTATAGATTTGATACCATAATGAAGGAAAGACCCAAAAGACATTTTTGAAGAAAAAGTTCAAAATCATTTCTGAAATACGTACATAGCTCCAGTGTCCCTGTACAAGGAGGAGCTTGTGAAGGAATCTGAACTGACATATTGAATAATCAGCAGCCATAGCAGCTTGGACACCTTCTTGACCAGCGATGCCTACGCCAACATTAGCCACCTGAATCATACTGACATCGTTTGCACCATCCCCAATGGCCAGAGTAACTACGTTATGCGACTTTCGAACCAATTCAACAACCTGAGCTTTCTGAAGCGGACTCACACGACAACAGATGACACTCTTGCAACGAACAGCAATATCCAGCAACTTTTGACGTGCCTCATGGTCCCCGAATACATGAGCTAATGCAGCGCCTTCAATGACCAGAGCATCCTCGGGTGCATCGCTACCTTGCTCGTTTTCAATTTTATCAAGCTTTTCAGATATATCACCAAGATTCTTGATGATCTCATTCGCATTTTCGCTGCCGCGGACTGTCCATAGTTGCATTTCACTATCTAGCAGATTACTAGCATATCCAATATTGATTGCTGTTTCGAGTTTATCGCCTGTAAGTACCCAAATCTTTATTCCAGCCTTGCGAAGATCCTCGATGCACTTTGGAACACCCTCTTGCAGTTTATCTTCAATACCTGTCGCGCCCAAGAGTTTCAAATTGACTTCAATCTTTTCTTGTACTTGAGCTACTTTTTCTGCTCGACCTTCTGTTGCTGTACTAGCCTCATCTATCTCCTTTTTCCAGCTCTCGTATTCTTCAGAGTCGATGTTACGATAGGCAAGCATAAGCGTTCTAAGACCATTTTCTGAAAAAGTGTCTACGTCTTTATGAGTTTTGTCAAGGATAGTTTGCTGCTTGCTGTCATGGTCAAGTCGCTCTGTAATGACATTATCTGCACCTTTACAATACAGTATAATATCATTCCACGGCTCTGGTCTCTTAAGTATAACACTCATCCTTTTACGGTCGGAAGTGAAGCCCAAGACGTCCAAGAGCTCAAATGTGTACTCTTGTCCTAATATATCGACTGTCAGCATTTTCCCTTTACGGTTGACGAATGCAAATCCAGCATTTTTAGCAGCGTTTACTAAGGCTGCTTCATCTGGTGATTCTGCCTTGTATTCTATCTGGACTTCAACTGTGTCGTCTACTCTATCTGGAGTATCTTTTTCGGTGATAGAGTCAAACTCTTCTCCTCTGCTCTTTCTTGGTCTATGCCTCCTTCTTGATTTTTTTAAGCTACGAAGGCCAGTCGCATTGAGTAACTTGCTTCCACTGGTCCGAAGACTAGAGCCGAGGGTTTGCTTTTCGATGTTTTGGGAAGCACCCGCTTGCGCTTTATCATGATCAGCATTCTCTTCAAGATTCTTACCGATGATTGTAGGTTGTGCTTTTGTTTCTTCCTCTTCATCAACGTCATCTTCTTCCTCAATCACTTTCCCATCTTTACCAATTTTTTCAATGACGACTGTATGACAGAGAGCAAGTAGCATAAAGAACTCTTTGATCCTATTGGATTGCTCTGTTTCTTTATCATCAGCCTCTAGCCTTCCTGTTATGTCTGGGTTTTTTATATCTTTAAATAGCTGAGGATCTGCAAAAGATAATCGGTCGGGATCCAATGATGAATAGGTTGGTTTAAATACGCCTTTCAAAATCTGCTCATACTCTTCAAATATTTTCTGTTTCCTCGTACTATGCTCCTCATTGGCCTTCTTTTCATCACCATCCTGTAGAGGATCCTGATCAGTGTTGATTAATGGTGGAGATCCGTCATCATCTCGACCAGCAGATATATAACTAGACTGACCTTCTTCATATGAAGCAGTCTGTACATTTTGCTTTTCTTTGCGAAGACGAGCGCCGCGTGCTCCTTCTGACTCTGGTGAAAATCCATTATCTCCATATCTGACGCCTCCTATTGTACATTCTCTAAACTCCATAATGTTACGCGTCAAGGTCCCGGTTTTGTCAGAAAATATGTATTCGACTTGACCCAAATCGTCAGATAAAGTCCACTGTTTATAACAGTTTAATATAAGTAAATTGGTAATTTTTCATCATTCACTTACAGTCTTGGGTATACATGGGGATTTAGAGTGTTCATCCCACATGTCCAGATCATTCCATATGAAATAAGCCTATAAGATGTTTAGTTTATTCATTATGTAAATAGCCATGGGTTGTGTGTATACCTGAAATGTCTTTACAAATTCGATAGAGACATATAAAGAGATGGGTATGATATTTTGAAAGATAATAAGACTTGACCAAAAGTTTAAGAAGCCAACGTATCCCGGACTTCCAGATTGTGCTGTAAATAGCAAGCTTGCGCTATTGCCCATATCTCTTGCTCTGACAACTCCAGCCATAATTGCACACACTAAGCATAAAGTAAATAACACAATGAATGCAACAAAGATCTATGCTAGGGCATTAGAGTGAATAAGGATAGTGAATGAAAACAATAAAATCTTACCTCTTTATTCATTTCAGTATCAATCTGACTTCTTTTACTAGGCGTGTCACCAGAGTTAAGTATGATCTTTGTATCTGTGCCAGTAAACAAGACAACAGCGATTGCCCATTTTGTATTACGAATGACATGTCCACGGAGCAGAATATTGTTAATATCGAGTGGTGTCTTGTTCTTTTCAACCCATTTATCTGTAGACTCGCTTTTTTCCAAAGTGACTAGTGTACCATCAAATTTATAAAGGTCTGGAGAAGGAGCGTCTGCTTCGACATAAAAGTGGCATTCGTTTAAACAATCTGTGCCTGATTGAATATGCTTAAATTCAGCCACACTATTGCGCGGTTTCAAGTTTGTTTCTCCATCCAAATCTTTGGTCTCAACATAACACACACCTTCTTTATCAGACGTTGACAGTAACACTGCATCTGCAGGGACACTGTCTCCATTCCGCAGTAGAATAAAGTCACCTACACGTGCATTCATTGCCAAAGATGGATGAAATGTTCCAAGGTTGTCACTATGGTTACTTTGAGCGTTGGATGTATCTGTCGTAATTGACACATCATGGTTGCTCTCCTGGCTGATCGTGTCGTGTGATTCTTTTTTTGTAAGCTTGTGACCAGAAAAACATGAGAACAATGAGACTACAGGGTTACTCTTGGCTGAGGTTCCTGGGTAATTTGTATTGTTATATCCGATAAGTGTATGTGTAATATTTTGATTATATCGCGCGTCTACTTTATGTCGTTGATAATCTTCAATAGCATCCTTTAGTGCTGTTATAAAGACCACTGCACAGATAGGAAGTAAAGTCAAAGCAGGAGATTTGACACCAAACAGAGGCAGTAGCTGAATAACAGCCATTCCCAGAAAGTACAGGTTGGCAGGTCTTCGAAACTGTTCAAATAGGTTCTTTGGAACAAATGTGATGATTGTATATTTTGATGTTCTAATCTTGTTTGAAGCATATGTCTCTTTTGCTCGTCCTTTTGACGTGAGAGCAAATTCCGGTAATGGTAGATTGACAAATACTCGGCGTCCGCTACTTTGAATCCTTCTTAATTTTACTGTTGATTCGGTCCGTTGCATTTTATGACCGCTGGATATGGTAGAGAGTGTCCGAGATGATCGACGAACTGTTTCTTCATATATATTATCTTTTCGACGTACGTTTTCGTTGCTACTGCTTCTTCTTTTCCATATCCATTGTCTATTAAACATGTTGTCAGAAACAAAGACAAGACAAGAAAAGAGATAAAAAACAAGAGTAAAAAAAAAAAAAAAAAAAGAGAGAGAGAGAGAAAAGAAATACTGGATCAAAGGGAAGCATTAAATGATGTAAGCGCCATTATTTTTATCATGGAACTAACTGATGTCTGAAAATGCCGTAAAAGGCAATTAAAGACAGACTGATACTATTTTTATTTCTTACGGTGATCTAATTTTGTTTTTTTGTCTTTTTTTTCTTTTTTCTTTTTTGCTTGATATCAGAGAAGAATATGGTTTAAACTGAAGAGATTAAAAAAGCGTATATTCCTGTGAGAATATATACATAATCCATCTTAAAAATAATGGGCCTGTCTAAAATAAACAAAGTTGTATAAAACCTATAAATAAAAACTATTTTCAGTTCTTGATGGCTTTTTGTAACATCATTTCTGATCCAACAAAATACAATAGTCATCTTTTAAATAAGCTCAGATACATAAACATGTCTTTGAAGATCACATTTTGTTGCTTTTATAAAATCACTATTTGAGCATAACTCTTTTTATCACGCTTTTTTTTTTTTATACAGGCTTGAATAATAGATGCCTTGGTTTTATCAAAGCTATTTATTTAGCCTCTGAAGAACAGTAATTGCACCCTTTGCTACATATCTTTCCTGTATCTCTGAGCAAAGTGGGGCTTATCCAACCAAGCGATTTTAACTTTTAATGCATCAAGTATAATTATAAGATTCTATACTTGTCAATTAGCTTACTACGGGAACCCTTTCCTGAAGCCCATTATAGATATCGAATTAAGCAATTGTTTAGTTATTTCTACCCTTGAAGAAAAAGCTGTACTGATAAAGAAGGTAATACTACTATCAGTAACATGTGCAACATATCCTTACTGGTCTTTAATAACAAAAAGACCTCTCCTTCCCCCTCTCTCTCCCTTTTTGCCAGCTATTGACATACTTTATCCTTTTTCTTTCATGGCTTGATTCTAGTTATAACAACAACAACAACAAAAAACAAGGAACATCACTACGTTTCTCCTTTCATTTTTGCCAAAGAGATACAATCATCAAACGATGAGTTCGACAATGACGAACTGATGAAAGGGAGAGAGCATTTAATTAAATTGGGTTTATTTTTGGTTGGTACTAATAACGATGAGCGTATTGCTGCTGTTGCTGTGGTGAATAATCTGGTAATTTATGAAAACTATCTGATGGCAATGGTATAGTCTCTGTAATGTCATTGCGTCCCACAGTTGTCTGCTGCATCATCATCATGTTTTGTCTGTTTTCTTCATCCAATCGTTTACGCATACCACGGAGACTTCTGGTGATATACCAGATGATAACAGCAACCAATACAAGAACAAGAATGATAATAAAGATGTATCGATCATTCTTCTTTAGCCAACTCTCTTGTGACTTTTCTATGGTATTACCGTCTGTATTAAAACCATTTGGATTGGGTGATGGAAATGGGTCTGGACTTTGAGCAGATACGATCAGAGAATGAAATAGCACAATTAAGGTTGTAGGGAAAAAGTAATCGAAAAGTATCAATTTCATCTTTTTAATCAAAAGGAAAGGAGTGGGTCTCTTTTAGTACGTCAGCAAAACGGAAAGAGGGGGAAAGAAGGAATGGGGGACTAGAAGAGAGAAAGAAAGAAAAAGGGAAAAAAGAGAGATACAAATTGAGAGAGAAAGTAATTAGGAAAACATGATCTTTTACAGTGCATCGTGCTTGGAAAAATAGGTCAATTAAAATTCAGACAATTTCGTTATTATTAGGTTCAATTTGGACCCTTTTTTTTTTTCAGACTATGGTGCGTTCACTGCCCAATTGAAGCTGACATGCTACTTTAATTATATGAATAATAGAGCCTCTTTTATGACCATAATACACTTGTGCAAGATAACTTATCTTATCAATAAATATAGCTCCCTTTTTTTTTCTTCTCCATTTCTCAATGTTTATATCCCATGCTCAGGGCACCTTTTATGCCTATCTTTATCAAAGTAAAGTACAATCATCTTATAAAGATAGTATATGAATTGCATCTTTAAGGAGAGGTATATAAAAACCAGAGCTAAAGCATATAGATCCTTTTACATTAAATTGAAAAAGAAGAAGGGCCCAAGTTGGACTTGAAATAGCACGTCTAGCCCTAGTAGTTGCCTGTAGTAGCCTTGTTACAACTTCTTTAATGATAAACTTGTGCTTTAATGGGATTAATCAAGGGCTAGTGGCACGCATGCGTGATGGCCGGCTCATATAGATGCTAGGTATTACCCATGAAAATAAACATGTTTGTCAAAGAATAAATGTCGCATACCCTAATGGGTAGGGGCAGTGTGTTAACTTTGTTTTCTTGCACTTATTCGAGAGTGCTTATTGCAGCTCAGACAGAAACGTAAGACCCATACAAGCAATGTTACCATGACTTCCTTGCATGTTTAAAAAAGTCCTCCCTATTGTCTTGACAGTGTCTGAATTTAAAGTAACTGTCTGAGATTAGGATCACTTCATGTATGTCTATTTGACCCATAGCTTCTAACAGACACATTATTCATCTATAAGTACGGGATAAATATGACATAGACTAATGAAATAATTTTCACAGTAGCTATACTAAGTGAAAAAGAGACTCACTTCGTTGAAAGGAAATTTCTTTACAAATCACTTTTAATCAAAATTTGTCGTATGATTTTGACTCGTGTGTCAAAAGGAAGTGACAAAAAATTTCTTCTTCTACTATTACTCCTACTCCTTTTTCCTATTTTATACTATGGCGCCCATTTCATCCAATCTTCCTCCTTCGAAGCGTATCAAAGTAGAAGATCACGGTATTAAAGATAGATTCTATCCTGGTCTCTTTGATCAAGCCAACCGAGACAAGCTACGAACATCCATACAAGCATCCAAACCTTACCCGCACTGCAAAATATCAAAATTGATCAATGAAAATCTCTTACGTCGTGTACAGCAAGAAATTTATGCAAACCTTCACTTTACTACAAAGGAAACAGATATTTACAAGGTAAATCAAACAGGCGATCTTGCCAATTTGAACGGATTAAGCCCTCAGGAAAAATCTTGCTTGCCGGCTCTACTTGAGCTCCGAGAGGCGCTCAGCTCTCAGTTATTTCGAGAGTTTGTCTCTGATATTACCGGATGTGGGCTCCTGTCAACTTCAAAAATGGATATGAGTGTGAATACATATACGGCAGGCTGCCACCTACTGAACCATGATGATGTAATTGGTACACGTCGTATATCCTTTATCTTGTACATGCCAGATGACGACTGGAAGCCTTCGGATGGTGGCGCACTAGAATTGTACCCCGTGATTGAAAAGAATACACCAGCGAATGAACCTACAGTGAGTGTACCACCTGAATGGAACCAGTTTTGCATGTTTACGGTCTTGCCCGGATATTCATTCCATTCTGTGGAGGAAGTGGTCACCGAAGGAAAGCGACGATTGAGTATCCAGGGCTGGTTTCATTTTCCTCAAGAAGATGAGATAGGATACAGAAAAGACGTAGACCAGACAGAGACAGGAATAGCTTCTCTTCAGCAAATTGAAAAGGCTATACACAGTAAACAGTCCAAGTTTCAGCCTTATCTTGGAGATCTGTTGGAACAATCAGTGGTACTCACAAACGGCGATATTGAAGCATTATCAGCTTGGATGAATCCTGATTATCTCAAGTTGGAGTTTCTAAGCAAGGTGACCGATACATTTGTGGAAGAATCAGCGGTTCAATTAAAGCAATTTTTAAAACCGGAGCTCTGGAAAGAAATTCAAGCAGCTACCTTCGAAGCAGATGAACAAGATGGATTTACGCAACACATTATGCCACCACATGGAGCTGGTATCAGAGGAAGCTGGTTCATACAGGGTCCACCTGTATCTCGGCGCTTCCTCCAGCTGTCCAACAGTATAAGCTCAGATCAAAAGGAAAATACAACTTGTCTGTTTGCAAGACTTCGATCCTATTTTGAACACGAGCCTTTTCGTCGCTGGTTGGCTGTTCTTTGTCAGGTCTCTCCCATTGGATACCGTGGTATGGCGCGCAGGTTCCGTCCAGGCCACGACTTTACGTTAGCAACTACAAACCAGGAAGGCAAACCAATACTTGATGTTACCCTCTGCTTATCTTCTGAATCTGATCAATGGGAGTCATGTGAATATGGTGGATATGAGTGTTATATGGCAGCAGGTGAAGATGATGATCCTGCCACTTATCGATCTTCAGATGACGGAGCATTGCTCACTGTGCCAGCTGGTACGAATGAACTATCGATTGTACTAAGAGATGAAGATGTTATGCGTTTTATAAAATATGTCAGCGCAAGAGCACCAGGAGCTCGATGGGACGTTGCTTATGAGTATGAAGTATGAAATAAATGGGTTGCTGTATAACTTAGCAATAGACACTATCCAATTATCTAAAAAAAGGGAACACTTTAACAGAAATTAAAGGGCAATAATGAGAAAAAGTTTCCAGTGACTGTAAGCGTATGATCTTTCTGCATGATGGCCTTTCCAAATATAGAAATACTTTTTTGTTTCTCATTCCACTTTCTCTCTCTTTTCTTTTTCTTTTTTCCTTGTTTGTACAGCAATAAAAAAAAATGAATCTGTCCAAAGTACCACATAGCATACACGATGCACCAGGGTTATTATACGCAGGCTTTAATCAGGACTATGGCTGTTTTGCTATTGGACTAGATAACGGCTTTCGAGTATATAACTGCGACCCCTTGACAGAGCATTCCCGTAATGGTAAGATTAATCAAGTGCAAAGCAACATTAGTTTGACAGACTTGAATAGAGTCAGAGGAAGGAGGAGTTGCAATTGTCGAAATGTTGTATCGCACCAACTACTTGGCACTTGTAGGTGGGGGAAAAAACCCACGATATGCACCCAATAAAGTGATTGTCTATGACAGTAAAAATACAAAGCCAGTGATAGAGTTAGAATATAAAGCAGAAGTGAAAAATGTAAAACTGAGAAAGGATAGGTAAAGCATAAATAAAACAAGAACTCTTGTGTGAGAGTGTGTGTTTGCATATTGAAACATTGAAGATTGACAGTTGTGCTTCAAAATAAAGTATTTGTCTACCATTTCAGTATTCCACCAAGACTACTGCACACTTTCGAGACATGCGATAATGATAAAGGTATATTATATATCATACTTATGTTTTTTTATTTTGTTATTTATGGTTCCATAGGTCTTGCTGCAATATCAACATTACCTGATCATGCAATACTAACGATACCTGGTAAACAAAAGGGCCATGTGCAGGTTATTGATTTGAATACCCTTGGATACTATACTTCGGCCGAAAACGAACAGTTACCGCCATTATTAGCACAACAGCACACAAATGGAACAAATACACGTACCTCGGTCAACGTGAGCATCATACCCGCCCATTCTGGTAGACTAAGTTGTTTATCACTAAATCAAGACGGCACACGGTGTGCAACGAGTAGCGACAAGGGCACACTGATTAGAGTATTCGACACATCCACCGGGACTTTACTACATGAACTTCGACGAGGGGTTGATCGAGCAGAAATTTACTGTATTGCTTTTAATTCCGAATCCACTCGTCTTTGTGTTTCGTCAGATAAAGGCACGATCCATGTCTTCAATCTGGATCCTTCTGTTGTCACAGCAGCAGATCACAAACCACGAGGACCAACTTATGGACAAGTACCCGTTAGCCCCACACATTCACCCAGTCACTATGGTTTGACACTCTCTGGTAATCGTGGAAGCGCGCTGAGCTTTATGAAGGATATCCTACCGAAATACTTTAGCTCAGAATGGAGCTTTGCTAATGCAAAACTTGCAACCGAGAGCCGATGTTTGGCAAGCTTTGGTCATCAAAAGAATACAATCATTGCAATCTGTGCAGACGGTGGCTGTTATAAATTCTCTTTTGATCCAAAGAAAGGCGGTGAATGTAACCGAGAGTCGTTTGAGAGGTTTTTAAAGCAAGAATAAAGGGATAGATTTATTCTCTTCTTCAAATTACCTTTTTTCTTTTCAGAAAGTAAAGTCGTATTTTCGTAATATTCATAATACAATTTATACGAAAAAGCGTCAAGTCAGCGCGACATTTTGTTTGTGGAAACCTTACTTAATCCAATAATGAACTTGAAGGCGTTGATAGAAATATCATCCTAGTTGCCCTAGGCTCAATTTTCAAGAAATCTGCTAAAGTTAACTCATCAAGAATAGAATGCAAACACAACCTAACTATATACTATGGGCAAGATGTCAGTGTTGGTATGGAAACGTTATCTTTTGAAACAATGTAATACTAGCTAAAATAAACAAACATTTATTGCAAAGTTAACTATGACAAACTACTCTGAATGTGAGAAAAGAGATGGACTCCATTCATCTTGATATCTGCGGTCTTTTTTCGTAGAAGGAGGAAACCAAGCGCCACGAACCCACAATGTATACTTATTTGTAGAGGAAAGACTATAAGGAGGTATCTCCACATTCTGCTTTGATTCCATGGACCTTTTGGTAGCCTGCTTTTTATGTTCAATTAACACATAGTAAGATTCTTGAATTAAAATTGTATACTTCAGTGTAAAAAGCCTTTCCAGCAATGTACGTAAATTTCCTAAGTCCATTTGCGTTGAAGGTAATCTTAACGACCCGAGGTGGCTGGCAACATATGGACGATTGCCAACAAGTTTAACTTCGGACATTTGGCCCTCAGATCCTACAATCTGCATGCATTCGCCTCTAGCATTTCTTTTATTTCTGGAGTTTAGGAGCTGTCTTTTGTACATTCTCTCATTATGGCTCCGAGGGATCCTATCTGGGAGAAGTATTTCACAGCAGAAGGGCTAGTAGAAATCTCTATTTTTAATAGCAAGGAATTTTCAAAACTGCCCATGGATCTAGTGCCATATGGGCAAATTTGACAACGTAACAACTCCTGGTGATATTTTCAGTAAAGCTTTGAATCTTCCAGTGGATATGACTACAGAAAATAATAAGAGTTGGTTTCAATTAGCGATGTTATCAGCTGCAAAACTACTTAAAAACCGCATACGTTTGCCACTTTGTCGTGCTTCTATGTTTATATCAAAGATTACACCTTTTGTCGTCAAATAAGCAATGTATTTCGTACACAGGCCAAGATATTATTAATAATCAGCTTTTACAACTAGGTATGTATGTTGAACTAGTAGTACTAGATAACCCTGCTGGTTCAACTTCTCGGTAAACAAAACACCCCGCTACAAGTTCCCCGCGGTCTTGGAGGCTATCTGGATGCTTAAATTATCAATGCTTAATGCATTGAAGCTGTTAAGCAAGAAGAAAAGAAAAGCAACGTGCATTGAACATAGCCAGCAATCACAAAATTTATTCTTGTGCTTCACTGTAGAAAGAGTAAAAAGAGTTCAAAAGTAGCCATACTGCTCTTCTAAAAGGATATGTCATTCAGCTAAAGGTAAAGATATTGGTTTTTTAAGTTTGTGAAATGGATTCTATTTTAGAAGCATCATTTCCTTCAAAGCATCATTTATTATTCGTTTCATTTGTAATAAACAAGATACTCCTTGTCATCTTTTTTGAACTGGCAAAACGATGTAATAAAAACATCACGTGTCCACATTGGCCTTATTTTTTTTTTTTCTTTTTTTGTATTTGTAAATAAATATAATATCTTTTAAACATAATAACAGCAGAAACATATGGATGTAAGAAGCCCTTTTCCTCAATTTATACTTAAACATGTTGTTGATTATGCTTTTTTCTACATTTTCAGTATGATTACCAACACATGCATAATGAATCTGACTTTGCAACGTAAGGAATTAATTACAATTACACTCAAGTTGCTCACTTAAACATTAGGGACACTGTGATTGAAGACCAAGTATTATCCGATAAACCACGCATTTTACTAATGGGCCTTCAAAGGTAAATTGAACAAAATAACTTGATAAACAAACAAACTTTTTCTTTTGTGTAGAAGTGGCAAGTCAAGTATTCAACGAGTTGTATTTGGAAAAATGCCGCCAAACGATACCTTGTATTTGGAAAGCACAACAAAGATTCAAAAAGAAGATATAGCGTAAATACTATCTAAGCAAAAAAGAAATGATTGTCTAAACCTTCCCTCCTTTAATAGTCGCTCCTTTATAGACTTTCAAATATGGGACTTTCCTGGACAAATCGACTTCTTTGATGAAATGGCCTATGATCCACAGGATATATTTGGAACGGTGGGAGCATTGATATTCGTGATAGATGCGCAGGATGATTATAGCGAGGCATTACATCGTTTATTTACTACGGTGACAAGTGCTTATCGAGTTAATCCAAATATTACATTTGAAGTGCTTATTCATAAAGTGGATGGATTATCTGATGATTATAAGATTGGTAAGATATATAAAAAGAGAGGCCAAATATGTACTCATTCTTAAAGCAGATACTCAAAGAGATGTTCAACAAAGAATGAGCGATGCCTTGGCAGATGCACAACTGGAATATATCCATCTCACATACTATCTCACGAGTATTTACGATAACTCAATCTATGAAGCATTCAGTAAGATCATTCAAAAGCTGATCCGTGAGTTACCCGCTTTAGAAAATTTACTCAACGTTTTATGTTCAGTAAGATTTGATATAATGTATATCTTTATGTGTCGCTAACATGTATTATAGAACTCGGGCATTGATAAAGCATATCTATTTGATACATTAACCAAAATATACATCGCAACAGACAGTTCACCTGTAGACATGCAATCATATGAATTATGTTCAGATATGATTGATGTTTGCATTGATGTTGAATGTATTTATGGGTAAAGAAGTACTTTAATATCTCACAAAGTGTCCTCATCTTAACTCAACTCTTTCCTATAGTGCACAAGGCGGCAGTCCGATGAATTTATCCTTGATGGACTCTACAGAGCGCTATCATCAAGAGATAACCAATGGAAACGGCATAGACTCTGAAAGTGTAATAGAACAACAAGAGGAAGAAAAACCAAAGCAATATGAGACTGAGGCATCTAGTCTGATCAAACTGGATAACGGAGATGTGCTTTATATGAGAGAAGTCAATAGGTAACAACTGAAGATCTTGTTTTTTTGGATTACACAATAACTCCCTTAATCTACTTAGGCTGCTAGTGCTGATATGCTTATTGAGACAAGATAATTTTGAAAAACATGGTTTAATTGACTATAACTTCCAATGTTTCAAAGAAGCAGTAACTCAAGTCTTTGAGTTTTCACGAAAACGAAACACACAACAAAGACAACTACATTAATAAACAAGCCTACTATTTGAAACCATGTTTACAAGATCAAACTTTTATTTACAATTAATACACAAAACACAGAGTGTTTTTGAGATGGTATAAAAAAGGGCTGACGCAAAAGAAAAAGGAGATTATATAACTTATGCGGAGGCAGGAGCGTCAGGGGCAGACTTTGTAAGGAAGACAGAGTGTTGACCACCAGCAGCAACACGAAGGATGAGGTTGGTTCCAAGGTTTTTACCTCTTAATAACTTGGGGACAGGTTCATCATCGTCACTACCGTTGCCAATAGCATTACTGGAATTGAATCCCCAAGAGTAACCTTGACCGTTTTGACAAGCAGTAAGAACAAATTCAGTACCAACAGAAATATGGGATACAGGAGGTAAATCGGAGACCTTGGTAGCAACAGGAATAATAAACTTGAATGCAGATTCTTCTGATTTTACTTTTAATGGAGCCATGACCTCTTCAGATAAGCCCAATTGGTTGGCGTCACCACGACCATAAGTGAAAACTTCTCCTGCTTCATTAACAATAAGTGTAAAGTGTTCACCAGCATCAACAGAGACAATGGTACCAATTGATTCAGGCAAAGAAACGAGTGTGGGCGAAGGGATGATGTTTTCATCGCTATCAATACATTGTCGATAATTATTAAGACCCCAAGCATACAACTTATTGTCATGTGTGACAGCCAAGGAGTGGTAGGAGCCAGCACCGATAAGCTTCACATTCTTCAAACCAACAAGATCACAACGAAGTGAATCCTTTGGATGACGAACAGACACACGACGGCCAAGCTGGCCTTGTTCACCATAACCCCAGGCGTAGATGCGGCCTTCAGCAGTTAAAGCTAAAGAGTGATTTGTGCCAGTAGCAACATCAACAATGATTTCCTTGGCAAGAGCAGAGTACAGAAGAGGAGTTCTTTGGTTCAAGAGTGTAGGAGAGAACCCAAAGATGCCCTCAGTGCCACGATAAGTACCCCAGGTATATAATTTACCCTCAGCAGTGATAGCCATGTTGATACAATCACCAGAAACAACCTTGACAAAACTAACATCACCAACATCAACCTTTGCAGGTACTTCGTTATTGCCTTCACGGCCCAAGACGCCTTCATCAGCGCATCCCCAAGAGTATAACTATAAAAGGAAATGGTCAGTTTTCCATTATCTCACATATAAAACATTGCCTCATTTTTCTTCTTTTTCGAGAAAAAGTACTTACATTTCCTTCTGGTGTCATAGCAAATGAGTGCAATCCACCACAGGCAACATCAACGATATCAACATCGGCTAACGTCTTTAAAGGGACAGGACGGTTTTTTTCATCACCTTCAATACCGAGTTGACCAAAATCATTTGTACCGCATACAAATACGCGTCCAGCATCAGTAGGACGCTCAGCAACTTTGTTGAGTAAAGTGCGAACACGTCTTTTAGCACGCTTAGCTGCTGCTTCAGCGTCAGAAGCAGGAGAGGCTCTTGTGCGTTTTGTGTTGGCCTTTTCAGGAGTAGTATTATTACGGCGTTTAGTAGCAGCTATTTATAGTTGTGTTAGAGTATACGCCTATCAATAAGGTTTGATATAGCTTACGCATAGGGTCTAATATATAAAATGGAAAAAGAGATAATAAAGAGAATGAAGGAAAGATTTTTTTTAAATAGTGCACCAATTCTCTCTATACTAGTTTTTCGGCCTTTTTTTTTTAAAAAAAAAAAAACAGAAGGAAGCTCGGGCAGTAATATCTTGTCCGGTTATTGTGACTATTTTTCTTTCTAAGCCTTCTTCGTCTCTTCTACAGGGTTTTACGCTAAAATTAGACGATGTTAATTTTTCTTCTGGACGTATTTGGAATAAATTGTAGACAACATACTTACCTTTTTTGGACGTAACGTAAATGGAAGTTTAGAAGAAGGACAATAAATCTTTAGATGG